TCATTCTTGGTGTTGCAGATATCAGTAGAATCATAAAACTCAAGGAAAGATAATTGGAGCATCCTTCTGTAAAGGTAATGAATCTCTTAACCATTATCTTGTTACTGTTGTATTGTATATCTCAAAGGGTTAACTTTTTGTTTTATTAAATTTGAAAAATCTGTTATGATAATCAAAATCGGACTTCTTTTGACTTGGTCTCATATGCAGATTTATAATTTTACACTTGGTTTAATATTATCTTTAATTTGGTATAAACTGATTTTAAAAAAGCACTTTTTTTATAATAATTGTATTAGACGTTTTAATTGACTCGATTCTCTTATATTTTCTTTTCTCTTTTCATTCGAGTTCTTTAGTTAATTTCTTCACAAGTTTGTTAATTCTGTCATCCCCTTTGTCTGTGGTGCAATTTGCAAAGGAGTGTAAATTTACACTTTCATATGTTTGTAAGTTCAAGATCATTCTGGAATTTGTGAGTTCATATATAATTGATTGAAAGTTGCCATTTTTGACCTGGAGGACAATAAGAACTACTGTGTTTGTGTTTGAATAGTGATTGATTTGTGTGATTGGAAAAGGGTGTGTTAATGGAGCTATTGTTGACGGAAGGGGAGGGTTTGTTCTTTGAAAAATTATCATGAGAAAAAAAAAAAAAGTAAAATTGTAAAATGCTTTTTATGTTTGCTTTGGATGATTGATATATAGTGGTTGAGATTAGGCAAATTTAGGTATGATGTTTTAAAAAGGACAAAAAGTAATTAAAAAGAAACTAAGTTCAAGATCATTTTCCTTTTATGAAACTAAATGAAAAAGCAAAAGATATGAAACTAGTTCAAGTTATTCTAATTCAGATTCAACTTGAGGCAGAGTTTCACATAATAAGAAATGCTAGATTTGTATTAAGTGCATTTAAGTCAAGTTAGGTGTTTTTCTTAGTTATTTAGAACTCTGTTTATATGTAATAATATATGTGGTGTGGATTGCTTCATAAGGTTTATTGAAAACAAGGTTGATAATGATAACTCTTGTTAGTGTAAATCATAACTTACCAAGAGCTTTGCCCTAATCATATACTTATTACATTTATATAAGTTTATTGACATGTTTAGAAGATTTTCTTTATAAGAAAAAAAATTGTTTATGAACTAAAGATTAGTTTTATACAATTAAAGTAAATTTTTTAGAAAATTATGAAAGCATTTTTATAAATTAACTTACGTATAAATGTTTTTCCTTTCATGACTTCATTGTTGATAATTTTTATAATATTAAATATCATCTCAAGTTTGCAACTGGAGCTACAACTTAAAAATTGGAACTTGGTAGTTGTTAGTTTTTTTAGTTGTCAATATTGTTTTTTCCACATTTTCATCTTATTCTTTAATATTCATATATATACTTCAAAATTCAATAACATTTATTTTTTCATTTTATAACTGTTTTTAAAATTAGATCCATTTTTTCTGTTTAATTAGTCTAATAAAAAAATAAATCTACAAATTAATCTATTATTTTTTAAATAATTAAATTTTAATTTAATCAATAAAATTGAAAAATCAGTTAAAGGTATGATTCAACTAATTTTGATAATAAAAAAATAATTTTTTTATTTTATTTAAATACAATTTTTTTATAAAATATATAATAATTATATTTTTTATTTTATATTAATCTCATTAATGTTAAATAATAATTATTTTATTGAATTTTTATAATAATAGTTTTTATTTTATAAAAAATTATTATGTTATAAAAATATTATTTTATTAGATTTAAATGGAATAATAAGTTTTATTTTAAATATATCGATTTTTACATTAAAAAAATTCATAATAGTTATATGAGAGACATAAGAAAATATTGATGTAATCTATTTTTATGATTATACTATTAGTAATTTTTTAGTAATCTTAATCATCAAATCATTTAATTAAAGTTATATATTACTTTGGTTACGTGTATCTATTTATATATATATATATATATATATATATATATATATATATATATTAATTTTTATGTGTACAAATGAGATATTAAAATTATATAAGAATAAGTATATCCTTGTATTTCTTAAGCTAATGATTTAATATATGTTAGTTTAAATATTAGATCTATAACTTATAAATTACTTTGATTATTTTTTATGCATATTAAAAAAATGTTTATAGTCAGGTTAATCTGATTCAAATGTCATTTTATTTAAATTAATTCAATTAAAATGAGTGACAATTAGTTAATTAATTATAAGTAGGGAACATCTTACATTTAACAAAGAATAAACTGATTATTATAATTTTTTATAAATATTATATAAATTTCTAAAAGAAATAATTTCGTTAAAGAAAATTAAAGTGTATTTATTTTGTCCAATTCAAATTTTCATTTTCTTTCTTTTAATACTGTTATTTTTGGTAGAAAAATAAAATAAAAATAAAGACAGTATACCTTTCTTTTCTGCAGAAATTATAGCAGATTTAAGTGAGGTGGGTGACCCTCCCTATCTGCCTTGTCCTCAAGTCAGATTTAGTAAAAACCACATTTCATATCTCTTCTCTTTTGTACTATCATGTCTTCCACCAAAATATACTACATTTCATCATAAATATGGAGGGTGTAAAAAAATAGTGTTTACAGTGAACAGAAAAAACTCCATTATTCAATGTAACCCAATTAATATTTTGATTATGAAATACTTTTTTTTTTTAATGTTTGAAAATGATATTATACATTATCTTATCTCGTCCTGTGATATTATGAAATATTTATGTTTCTAGGGTAAATTATTATTTTCAAAGTAAAAAAATATATAACATTACGTAATATTCTCTCATCAACTAATTTTCAATTTATTATGACGTAGAAATAAAAAAAATAAAATAACAAGTCTTACAAATATTAGTTATTCCTAATAATTTTGTTAAGTACAAGTCAAATCTGTGAAATATTTTCTAATGATAGAAACAAATATTTGAAACATGGACATTATTTCTTTTTAATCCAAATATGAACATTCATTGTAACAATGCTGTTTATGCAATATAATTTTCTATGAAAGAAATAACATGTTTCTGATAACTTTCTTCTCTGTACGAATGCTTATTCCATAATTCATGATCACGCGTTTTCCTGCATAACTCTGAGTTTGTCCTGATACCCATTATTATTATTACCATAATACATGGAAAAATTTGTGCCATAAATTGTGATTCACACCAAAATATGTGGGTGTTGGGTAAGTGGGTGTCCAGAAATAATTGAAAGATTAAGTTAGGTCTGTGGTTGCTTTGCACTTCATCGACAGTTAAGTGTTCCTACCTCACATATAGGTGAGTTTTTCTGATTCATACACAATCATAAGATTTTTTTGTTTTGTTTTTGTTATTGTGGTAGTTCTTCTTCACAGAATTAAATTACCTTGGTTGAAAGAAATAAGTTAACCTAGATCTATTTTTTATGTTAATATGTTAACATCAACACCTTCATGTGAACCAATCCAATTCTCTGTCTCTATTTTTCTGCTTTCAACATCATTTGTTCATTCTTATCACTTACCAGATGGTTTTTGTTGTTTTACCTTACACACACAATCTCTTTCTTTTGATTCTTTGCTTAGTCATTTGAATCTGTTATGAACCGCCACGTAAAACCTGCACCAGCCACGTTGCGTTACTTTTTCATGCATTTTTCTTTCCACTTGCCACGTTACCTCACACCTTTACCAGCTAGCATTCACCGATCTTTCTTCTTTCATTATTCACACACACGTCAATGGTATGGTGTAAAGTCAGAAACATAGAAATAAAGGTTTGATAAATCATTTTAACAACTCATTTTTTAAATATCTCTTTCCTTGGTCATTTTTTGCTATTTTTTATTTAATCTATGAAAAATATCGCGTGCACCAGAAGAAAAGCACTTAATCTCACATGACATGTGTGAAATTTGAGAAAATTTATTCCCTCCACTTGTCACAGATTTAGTTCTGTCTCTAATTTGTGTACGCGGTTTCATCATAGTTGCTCAAATCACGTTGCATGTGGGACAACTGTCTTTTCATACAAGTGTCAACCAAACAAAACCCTAAAGCAATCGATCTAAATAATTTATATTAACGTACATTATCAACAGAAAGAAAATAAAAGAGAAAAAAAAAATAAATTAGAAGGTTAGGCAAATGCGAACCACGATGCCGCTTAATGCTCATCCACTTTTGGCACACTGTAATAGTAAAACTGAAACTGATTTTGAAAACTGTAAGAGAAAAAGGAAATACAAAAGAAACTGTTCTATCATCTTAGCTGATTGCAATTTAATTTTTCTCGGTTACACTTTTTGTGAAGTGTTTGATCATTTCATTCTTTAACTTTTGGAGATTTTCAAGATTCTTTGTTAGCAATACCAATTCAGAAAACAAAGGATATATTTTCATGTGAGTTACAGAATAATTCAGTCACACTTTTGGTGCCTCTTACCAGATTTATTTGAGTAAAAGTGGATCAAATTCACAGGCGAGGGGCAAAAGTGGAATTTCAAGCTTTAATAGGAGACATGTACAATGGTACTCTGTGTAGTTTTTCTAGAAAAGATAAAATTTCAAATACTGTGTGAGAATAAGAAAAGAAAAAAATAACATTAATCAATGATGCAATTGACCCGTGACACAGAGCCAGGATATAGAGGCTGTTAGTAAACGAAGTGAGGATAGTGGCTTTGAAATTTGAAATTTGAAAAATGGAAAGATGATGATGATGATGATAGTAATTTCTTCGGTCATGGTTCAGACTGTGTAATTGATAAACAGAGATTGAGTTTTAGTTCGTTTTGCTTTTTATTTATTTATTAGGAAAATCTTGATCTGTTTGGTTGGGGAAAGAGTGAAGTGGATTACTGGTTGGTGGAGTGACATGAGCAATCGATTGTGTGTTGTTTTATGATTTTGGGTGAAGCAGAGAAGTAACTGGTGCCATCTCTCCTGCGACAGTTTTTTCAGGACGATGAGTAGTTTCCTGAACGGTGCTTCGCCGCGGCAGCAAATGGAAGAGAGTGACATCGAGGCTGGTCCCTCCACTCGCCGTTCCGCTGACCTTGACGACGGCGATTTCTCCGATCCGTTTGATATTGCCAGAACTAAGAATGCTTCTATTGAACGCCTCAGGCGCTGGAGGGTGCGTTTTTCTCGTCTAGTTCATATTCTTACTGTCTGATATATGTTTTTTTTTTTTTGCTTTAACTTTTCTACTTTAGGTTTTATCTTCTGCCTGTTTCTATGCTTTTGAACTGTTTACTCTCTGTTTTCACTGGTTTATGAACTTATGGTGGATTTAGGGGTTTGTAGAGTGGATGTTTCTAATTGTGCTTGTAATTGATTGATTGATTGAGTGCGATTTGTGTGTCGAGAGAAATTTTTGGGAAATTAGGTGGTTGTAGATTAAGGCAGTCGAGGAGTTTAGTTATGATGCCTGAATGATGTTTCTAGATATATTTTAGTAAATAGTATTGGTGAGGAAAGTTAGTGGGGTGGTATCAGCAAAAGGTTTGTTAGAACTAAACTTGGATTTCCCTCATTTATGGGGATACTATTGTTTACATTTTTGGTGTTGCAAATTTAAGAGCAGAGATTTCTACTTGTTCTGCATGACTCTGTATGGAGGTTTTACTATGGCCTTGGAAGGTTATGGTTCCTTGTTGCATTTTCTATATAACAACACATGGGAAAGGAAAAGGAGATGCTCAGAAGTGGCTTAAACTATACAGTCACCGCTCACAAGTCCGGATAGTTATCTCATCTGGCAATAGTAATGCGAATTGGTGTGTTGATTCATTATTTGAGGGTGCAGCAGTTTGGAGGTCCATGTGCAGAACTCAAACTTTCAGATTGCTAACTTTAGCGCCCATGCAGCAGAATATATTCTTACTCTCTTTATGATCTTGCATTAGTTAAATATTAATACTCATCCATTAAGTGTCACCCTAAGTCCTTCTGCAGTAGCAAGACAAGCGGAGGAAAAATTTGTAACTAGCTCGGTAATTTTATTTCATTTTTAATATATATCCTATTCTCAAATATATTGTGTTTTTAGTTTTCCAAGCCATCTCTTATCAACCATCTCTGAAATTTTTTTAAGGGAATATAAAATTTTCTATTAGCTAAATTTGAGATATTCAGCAATATTCATGAATCTCTTTAAATACAGTGTCTCCCTCATTCAAAGCAATGAAACAGAAGAAGCAATATGTTTCATGCATGGAAAGAGCATATTTTAAGTGCATCAGGACTAACAGAAGCAGTCTGAATTTCTCTGGTAACTGGTGGCACACTTTTACATTCTTAATCCTCCTGGACAATCTTGTTTAAAATTAGCAAAATTATGGGATATTCAGTAATACTCGGGAGTCTCTTTAAATACAGTGTCTCCCTTCTGCAAAGCAATGAAACAGAAGAAGCAATATATTTCATGCATGCAAGGGGCATATTTAAAGTGCATCAGGACTTATAGAAGCAATCCATAAGTTTCTCACATTACTGGCGTCATGATACTAAGTTCTTAATCCCCCCCGAACAAAGCTGGTTTCAATTAGCAAAATTTTGGGGTATTCAGTAATACTTGCAAATCATTTTAAATACACTGTCTCTCTTATGCAAAGTAATGAAGCATGAAGCAATACTTTTATGTATGCAAAGAGCATATTTAAGGTGCAGCAGGACTAACAGAAGCAGTCCACAAGTTTCTCTCATAACTGGCATCACTATTCTAAGATGGAGAAACTTCGTTTCGATTAACAAAATTTTGGGATAGTCAAATTCTGGGATATTCAGTGATACTCACGATTCTCTTAAAATACAGCGTGTCCCTTCTGCAAAGCAATGAAACACAAGAAGCAATATGTTTCATGCATGGAAAGAGCATATTTAGTGTGCATGAGGACTAACAGAAGCAGTCCTTAAGTTTCTCTCATAACGGGCTTCACAATTGTAAGTTCTTAATCCCCCTGGAGATTCTTGGTAGTTGGGCATTATGCCTGGACATTTAGGTTCAAGAAATGCTATTAAGGGGTCATTTACGGCCAGTTTTTGAGCCTCTTATTTGCGCGCTGCTGATTCCCAGGATGCGTAGTGGAACTGAAAATTTGACTGAAGGATTGGGTTGCATTCATTCCATGTTTTATCACAAAATTTAGGTATGAAGAAGGAAAGAGGGAGAAGGGATTCTTATGATTGCTTTAACTGAGTTGTGGTTGAAGCTGAAATGAATTGAATGGACCCACTGATCATTGGAAAATGAGGATAATGCATCAATTAGGAAGCTCCATTTCTCTCAATGTTTTATGTTTCTTTTTCTTAGCATTTAAGGATGATGTGCTTGCCATCTTAATTTCATCCACTTGTAGTGGCCATGATACATCCCGTGTCAATAAATGCTGGTTTAATGTTCTTTTGACCTAAAATACATTGTGTCTTTTCCGCATATACCTCATTTCAAACCCTCTTGGATAATAGAAGACTCAAATCAAGACTGAGTTTTAGGGATTTAATTATGTCTAACAGTTTTGGATTAGGGCACTAAAATCTGAATGGGTTGCTGAGTTTCAATATGTGATTCCTGCATGCAAAGTATGGATGGGTAGAATGATTATTAGTGAAAGAAAAGCAAGGGAAATTTTTATATTTCAAAGGTAACAGTTGAGCTGTATCCAGTTAGGGTAGTTTATTGGATTGAGTTTTTAAAAGATTATTTGACGTAACAAATTATTGTGGATTTTAATAGACCATGTAGGAATGTTATGATTTATCATTTTTTTTAAATACTTTTGAGTAAGATTTTGTAAGTTGAATTTTAATGGATTTTATATAGTAAGAATTTAAAAGATTTGAAAGAATTTTATTGATTCATAAGATTTGAAAAAACTCAATGAATCTTTAGAAAACATTCACACTTAAAAAATTCAATGAAAAAAGTTGTACTGAGAAAGTTTTGATGAAATGAGTAAAACGAATACAATTTTTCAATCTTTTTATACCTGATTGATTCTAGCGTCATGTTCTCGTGTGCTAGCCTTATATGTACTGGCATATTCTATATCCTACTATTGGATCTGAACAATAGATTCAAAACTATAGTTCTTATATACTAGCCTTATGTGTATTGACATGTTCTCTTTCCTACTGTTGGATTTGAACAATAGGTCAAAATTATAGTCATTTTTACAGTTAGAAATTCCTGCTCTTGAATTTGAATGATATTCTTTGTGAAAAAAAGAAATAAAGTGTCGCACATGCTCTATACTTCCTTCATCAAAGAGAGAAAGGATTATGTCTGATGGGAAAACAAGTTTGACAATTGATAAGAAAGAAAGGGAGGATTTAAGAAATTCTCAAGGAATAGGGCGAGATTGTGTCATGGATATAAAATTTATACATTCTCCATAAATAGTGTTGCATATGATTGTCTGTACTGCCTTCATCGAAGAGAGAAAGGATTATGTGTAATGGGAAAAAGAAGTTTAACAATTGACAGGAAAGAAAGGGAAGTGTTTGTTTCATTCATTAAAAGTTATTCATGGGAATGTATACTTGAGAATGTAATATTTCATGTGTGATATGAGTTTTGAAAAGTTATTCCTGGTTATTATTTATTCTTTGAAAAGTAGTATTATAATATTTTATTGCATTTTCCTTCACATGATGAGGGGTGGGAAAGTTATATTTCCATAAAAATGTGGGAAGTTTTTATCCAACCCAATGATGGATTTGAAGCGTAGGAGATTATTGTATTTGTTTTGTTTAAACTTTTTAGTACTATCTGTGTATTACCACAACGCCAGGAGTGTATTCTCAGTTGATATTAAATGTTTGACTTTTTGTATTAATTTGAAAAGCCAAGATAAAATAAGATGCATGGGTTTGACTATTCTGAAATAGCAAATGTACACGTACGGATATAACTTCTGTTTCAATTTCATGTAAACAAGAACGATGCTTCTACCCAAACATACAACATTTAATTTGAAGTTTCATTTAGTTTTTTTGCAGTATGAATGTTGTTTTATAATTTACTGTCAAATGTAAAGACCAGTAGCTAGCTTCATTTTAATATTCTACATTTGCTATTTTTGAGTCTGTTTATGTATTTATTTCTGTTACACCTAAGAAACCCTTTGTTATTATATTTTTTAGCAAGCAGCGCTTGTGCTTAATGCTTCTCGTCGATTTCGATATACCTTGGACTTGAAAAAAGAAGAAGAGAAGAAGCAAATATTGAGAAAGATTAGAGCACATGCACAAGCCATTAGAGTATGGTTCCTTCAATTGGCTTTCTTTATTATGCTTATGCTAGGTATATGAACGGTACTAATTATCCATTGTGCTTTTAGGCAGCTTATCTTTTCAAAGCAGCTGGTGGGGGGCCAGGAAGTGGTGAGTAATTGAGTTTTACTTAATTTTTATATGCTGATCTTTTTTGACACTTCATTTGTTTTCACTTTGATAAATCCTGTTAAAAATATTCCAATATTCATCTGGGAAACCTAGTGTGGCATATATATTTTGTAAATGCCAATTTCATGTGAAATTTGTATTTCAAATTGGAGCCTGATCCTTGAGTGGTTCTATAACTTCCTTTTCAGCTTTTCTCTATATTTTAATGAACCGGTTCTCCTTACACCACTTCAAATTGCTGTTATCTATTCCTTTAGAATCTGTTTGGATGAGGTATTTGGAAGTAATATTTTTTTTGGAAGGAATCAAATTGATTTCTATAGAAGTTATTGTTTGGATATTTGATTCGATAAGTTTTAATATTCTGCATTTGGTTCTTTAATAAGAATTTTGAGGAATTTAAGATAATGAATGAAGAGGAGGAATTCGGAAGTCCTCTCTATATTGGTGGCATGTGTATTGTTTGACGTTACCTATTTTAAAGAACTAGAAATTTTAAAATACTCCATCCATAGTATTATTTGGTACGAAGTTCATTCTACTTACCAAGTCTGTGTTTTATATTTCAATGTTAATTGTTCATTATAGCATCTTTTAAATATCTAGTCAATCTCTAGTATTTTTTATGGTTTTTACTGAACACTTATGTGTTTTAAGTATAAAGAGAGGAGGGGAGATAAAAGGGAATGAAACATTGATTGAGATGTATTCATGACTTTGATATGATCACTAAAGTATAGTTAGTAAGCACCCAAACACTTGATGAACTTACTACTTAAAAGCTAATTGTTACACACTCTAAATCGGTTCAATTGCTGACATTTCACTCAACTTTCTTGTTGATCAAAACTCTCTACTAATCAGAACCTTCCATATGTAGCTATTTCGAAGACACTGACTACTAGCTCTCATACTAGTTGATAATCACTCAAGTACATGGAGAACCCTCCCCTTAAAATCTAGTTGTAAAGGGAGGAAACTATACATTTAAATACACCTCTGAGCATTCCATAATATTTTATGTCAGATTTAGGCTCTCCATAATACCCAAGTCTCTATCAAGAGCAATAATCCTTATTTGTGCTGTTATAAACCCACTTAATTAAGGAGTCAAAACACGATAATAGCCCTACTAATCCTAATAGATAACGAGGAAATAAGAAAACTAATCATTAAAGATAATCTAAGATGTGTTAAAAACTTTATATGGTAAAATGTTTTCCTATATTTTAACACACCTTCCAAGCTAAAGCTTACCAAGTTTTAAGCTTGTCACAATAAATCCTTTTTCTTTTCCCAATAATATGGTTCCTTTTCTAGTTAAAGAAATTCTATGAGAAAACATTGGAGAGATTAGACAAAAGTTAGGTGACTCGTGAACTGACAAATATAGAATAAAGACCAACTGTACTGGGGCGATTCTTTGGACTGCTGGGCTAAGTTTGTGGCTACCGCTGTCCAAGGATGACTCACTGGGATTGGTGTTTGGAGAGAGCACTCTAGGATAGGCTCAGACCAAACAGTGTCTGGGACAAAAGAAAGGGCTAGACAACTTCCACCTTTCTCTTCCTCAAAGCTAGCATCATCTGTCATAAAGAACAAATCAACCACCAACAGAGTCAAATAGCCATAGACTAATACTACATGTAAGTAGTGAAAGAAGAGATGAACAAAGATTATTAGAATCCCTTCTATGTTGTTATGCTTGATGTAACTAATAGATATGAAGTGAGTTTCGCCTAGATGCAAAATTTAATGATACCTTAAAAACAAGGCTGAAAGAAGTTGGTGAGCAGAATGGAACCAGTGATGGTGGAATTAGTGATTGGAGTACATGAATAAGGAGATTGGCATATCCGAGCACTTTTGAAGGAGTTTTAGCAGATAGAGCAAAGGCCTCCTCTTTCCGGAACTGAGCGAATTGCATGTAGAGATCCGTAGGGGCTTATAGTTTAATTGAGATCCGTAGGGGCTTATAGTTTAATTGGTTGAAACGTACCTCTCATAACGGTAATATTGTAGGTTCAAGCCCTAGAATGAACTGTTTTCAAACTTCTTGCCCTAGAATTTTTTCTTACTTATTGAATCTACAGAGCTAAGCACATATATTCTTTCCTTTCTTTCATTGGCTTACTTGCTGGATCAATTGCATTTCCCCTATCCCGCCGCTTGCGGGAAAGACTTGGTAAAAAAGACCTTGATGCATTGCATGGCTGTTGCTGCATGCAAGGGAGATAATGGCAGCTGAGAACAATGATGCATATGGACTTGTATTCTGATGTTCTTAGGATTGATAAGTTGGTTCGGGAGATAATGAACGATGCAGATGGATATGCCTGTTTTTATTTTCAACATGGCTGTTGCTGCATGCAAGAGAGATAATGGCAGCCAAGAAGAAAGATGCCTATGGACTTGTCTTGATTCTGAAGTTCTTGATGACGGTCCTATAGCGAGTGTCACCATAGGTCAAACAAACCTATCTAAGATTAAGCTCTAATACCTTCTTAGATAATAGGTTTAAGCTTAACTTAACTTTACAAAATCGACGTGTAAGGCGATGTTTACACTCAATATTATTTGATGTTGGGATCTCCAACACTTTCATGATGATCTGCTTGGGTATGGGATATACGTGACATGTAGTGTTCACTATCTTGTTCATGTTTCAAAATTTATGTTTGCATTTATAACACCCATGTTGGATTCTCCTTTTTGCATTCATTACCTAAACTGAAATATGCTTGTTGGTGGTGAGTTTTGTTGTTCCATGGATCTTTATTTAAATAACTTTGTGTGATTTGAACAAGTGTATTGATAAGGGGTACGCCAAGTTTTACTTTTCTTTTTGAAATATTGATGGGTAATTATTTAAATTGTTAGAACCTATTAAACCTCCTCCGCCTCCCTCTGCTGGTGAATTTCCAATTGGGCAAGACCAACTTGCTTCAATTTCAAGAGAGCATGACACTGCTGCTCTGCAACAAAATGGAGGGGTATGTTTGCCAATAATGTTTTTTCTCAACTTGGTAATGTTAGTGTTCAGTGTCATAATTTTTCCAAGTGATGCTTTTGAATCATTATCAGGTTGTAGGACTATCAAATTTGTTGAAAACCAATTTAGAGAAGGGAATTCATGGTGATGATGTTGATTTACTAATGCGGAGGAATATATTTGGTTCCAACGATTATCCTCGGAAGAAAGGAAGAAGTTTTCTGGTAACTTATCTAGAGTAATTAAATGTGTGATGATTTTATGGTCCATAAGTTTCTTCCTTATCATTGGGGATATTGTAGTAACCTTTCTTTTTTCATGTTTTTTACAGATGTTTATGTGGGATGCTTGCAAGGACTTGACCTTGGTTATTTTAATGGTAGCAGCAGCAGCTTCACTGGCTCTTGGGATAAAATCTGAGGTGAGATTGGCTGGTAAAGTTATGATCCTTTCTTTGTACCTGGTTGAGAGTGCTGAATGTGGGTTTCTCTTATACCTATGGTTGAGTTATACAGAAGAAGAGAAACATATTAAAGAATAAATCAATGCAATAATAAATAGAGGAGATTTGATATCCTCTAATAATAGATATATAATCCTGATATTTCTGATCATACAGATATGCTAAATGTAAGATATGGTTCTTATTTCTTTAATTATAACACTTACAAATACTGTTCTCCAAATTTTCCTTTGTTCTTTACCTTTTACCATTTCTCTCCCACTAATTTAGACATTTTTATAAAATTATTAATCCTCAAACCTTAAGCCTTCTCCTTTTGGCATTCTTGTATTTGTCTTTAGGTTATTTGATAACAGGCTTCTCTTTTCTAATCTATTCAACATTTACCTTACAATGCTTTGATAAATTGAGTAGCTTTGAACGTGCTGGAACTATTTCTATACTATGTTTCCTGTACAAATATATAAATAAGTAAATATTTAGGTTAATCTGAACAATGCATGTTATTATTTGAATCCATTCTATTTAGTGGAAGAAAATCTTTCAATTTGTGCATCTTGTGTTGTCTACTTTTGGTTTTTGAACATAACTTGGTTCTAATTATGTTCAATTAAAGTAAAATCATAGAGTTTCCAGACTTGGTGAATTTTCTAGTATGAATTTTTTTATGTTATCTTGTACAATCAATTAACTTATCTGGTCTTTTGTCCTACTTTTTGTATGTTTGTGCCTTCTATATATAATCTAGGATCAAGGGAACATTTTTGTGAATATTCAGATTTTCTTCATTCAGTTTGACCATATTTTTGTTGCAGGGTATTAAGCAAGGATGGTATGATGGGGGAAGCATTGCTTTTGCAGTTATTCTTGTTATTGTTGTTACAGGTATTATATTGGCTTTGTGTGGTTTAAAATAACTAGTGTTAGTTTACTTGCTTTATCACTCTGGTGCAGTTTCCTCTATAATTAGCTTTTGGGTGTTGTCCAAGGTCATGATCCACACTGTTCATTCAGTCTTTTACAGTAGACATTACTATAATAATGGTGTCTAGTAATTTCTCTGTGAACCTCTTTCTTTTCTCCTGTTTTGTAGCTATAAGTGATTATAAGCAGTCTCTTCAGTTTCGAGAACTAAATGAAGAGAAGAGAAATATACACCTGGAGGTTTGTTTGTTTCTTAAGTTAAACTTCATTGTTGTATTACAATTTTTTTAATCAATTTTCTTGCCATATTTTTAAGTTTTTATTTGAATTTGTGCATGAGAAGGTTATTAGAGGTGGTAGAAGGGTTGAGATCTCTATATATGATATTGTTGTTGGGGACGTTATACCCCTTAATATTGGTAACCAGGTACTTGATCTTTTTTCTATTATTCTTTTTCTTATAATACTTGTCGATTGCATTTTATTTGCTATTAAGTTATTTTGTACTTTTTCTAGGTCCCTGCTGATGGAATTCTGATCACTGGTCACTCTCTTGCAATTGACGAATCAAGTATGACTGGGGAGAGCAAAATTGTAAGTATTTATTTTTTTTATCTTCTGGGAAATTAATTTTTTTTTTTTATCTTCTGGGAAATTAATTTTTTTTTTTTGTGTTACATATTTGTTGTTTTGCAGGTCCATAAAGATTCTAAGGATCCTTTTCTTATGTCTGGATGTAAAGTTGCTGATGGCAGTGGCACTATGCTGGTAGTTAGACCTTTTCCTTTTTTTTTGTTTTCAAATTATAGTGTGATTTGATTTTAGTTTACATAATGAAGAGTTTCTAAGACATAGTTGAGATAGTAAACAATACGTAATAGTTACTTTGGTAGAAGTGAGGGTGGTAATTATATCAAGGACCAATAAAGTGTGCATTGATTGTGGAAGTGTTTCTTAATTGGATTTAAATCAGATTATTCGTTCTTCTTATACCCTCTTGTCGTGTATTTAGGATCCCTTCAATCACTACACAAGAATTATAGGATTTAGATAGTGGTATTAATTTGTCAACAATTTGTATAAAGTTTCAAGAGTTACCCTTAAACTAATTTTTTTTTGCCTAATTAATTAAGGCATATCCTCTTAAAGTAATAGTTAGTGATGTTTCTATTCGGATGAGAGTCTCTAAGAAATTATTTTCTGCATATATTGTTTATTGACTAGAAAAAAATAGTAATGTCATTAATATTTGAAGGGTGACTTCTAAAAATTAATGCAATAGACAGTTTAGAGAGGGTTTTGAGGGTGGTGATGCCAACATTACAGTGATTGCCCAAAACTAGTTAAAGGGCTATTGCACTGCCAATCTACTTGGGTCCAGGGTTGTGAAACGTGGTTGTGATGTTAGCATCCAATTGCAAGGTATGTGTTTGAGTCCCACATCAGAAGCATGAGATTCTAGTGTGGGCTTTATAATTTATAAGCCTCGCACTCCTAAGATGAAGTAGATAATTTATTCTTTAATCAAATTCAGCAATAAAAAAAATCCCTTCAGCAATAAAAAAATCCCTCCCCGGGCCGAGTTTGCATTTTTTATTTTTCATGGCACGAGTCTTTCCCTAGTGATACATCTAAACCTGAATTACTTGCCTACCCAAAGACTCTAAGAGAATTAAATGTTCAATTATTGAATCTTGTGTCTTACTACATGAGCATTTCAAAATCCAAATATCATAACTTATTTTAAATTACAAATGATTGACAAAATTGTTACTAAATAGAATAGCCAATACCAAAGCCGATGCTGGGCCTCTCCAGTTACAGAGACTATCTTTTGTATTGTGGTTCTCCCAAGGTTCTTATCTAAAGGACCATAGAGAATGTTACATTCTTTTAAGAGGATGTTGATTGTTTGCTTATTGTGTGTGCTATTCTTAAAAAGAGTTTATTCCCTAGGTTGAATTTAGTTGTTAAAACACCTGATGCAGATAGAATTTGGAGTCAATAAAATATGGATTTACTCTTATCAAATTTCTTTCAATAAATCAATATATTATTTAATTTTTTTTGTTTATTTTTTACCATAGGTCACTGGTGTTGGTATCAATACTGAATGGGGGCTACTAATGGCTAGCATCGCAGAAGATACAGGCGAAGAAACACCATTACAGGTCGTTTTCTTAGTTGTGATTTCTTGTTCAGTACTTCTATTTCTTATACCGTATTCACATATGCATGTTTTCAATATAGGTTCGCTTAAATGGTGTAGCTACTTTCATCGGTATTGTTGGACTGGCTGTTGCTGTTGTCGTCCTGCTTGTGCTACTAATTAGGTAACTTAGTTATTATAATATTGTTGCCCATATGTAATTTTTGGTTTGATGATAAGATTATAATCACCATACCTCTAAAGTGGAAATTTGTTGGCAGATATTTCACTGGGCATACTGAAAACCCGCAAGGTGAGGCTCAATTTAAAGCTGGCACAACTAAAGTTGGTGATGCTATTGATGGTGCAATTAAGATAGTAACTGTTGCGGTATGTGCCATGATAAATACTATATCACCAGAGCATGTTTTATGCAATTGAGCATATTTGCATTTATATTTCAGACTTTAATATCTTTATAGTGATAATAATTCAATGAACATATAGGTCACTATCGTCGTGGTTGCAGTTCCTGAGGGGCTCCCATTAGCAGTTACTTTAACGTAAGTCTGCTAATTCTGGCCTGAACTTCTTAGTTTTATGCAATTTTTTTTGCTGTCATCATTCAAAAGGTTACATTTTACATTGTGGATAAATTTGTCATTTTTCTTGTTCTTTGTTTCTTATCAAGTTTGTTTCACTTAATTTTTGTAATTACCACATTTTAGCTGTGAATTGCACATTTGGTCCAATATAGAATCTATGTTTAATGTTTGATTTTCCAATTTTTTATCTTAACTAATATATTATTATCACATTCTTGTATCAAGCATTATATGTCCATATTACATAGTTAATATGCCTTTTTCATCTCTAAAATACAATTTTTTCCCTGGGTTCTCTATCACATCTCGTTGATGTGTGCTTACACCCTTTTGTATATAGGCTGGCCTACTCGATGAGAAAAATGATGGAAGATAAAGCTTTGGTACGCCAATTGATGTTTGTCCTTTTATTGAATATTGACATAAACATATGTGAAACTGTGTTTAATATGGCACATTGACTTGTAGGTAAGGAGGCTTTCTGCCTGTGAGACTATGGGCTCTGCTACAACCATATGTAGTGATAAGACTGGCACATTGACAATGAATCTGGTAAGTTGTGGTGCTGTATTTGAAATATTGAATTAAATAATAATTTTTTATAACTAGTTACATCAACTTCTTGCAGTAAACTTCTTTCAATTGTTTCTTATTTTAATGGTTTTTATGCATGCAAGCTTTTATTTGAGTAAGAATTCGTTCAGCTTTTCAGGATATTTATTTCTACCAATGTGATTGGATAAACTAAGATTTTTAGGAAGTTCATTCTATTGGCCTTCATTGGCATTTATACATCAGATTTTCTTAATATGTTAATATTTTTAATCAATGAGACAGATGACCGTGGTTGAGGCTTATGCTGGGGGTAAGAAAATTGACCCTCCTCACAAGTTGGAGAATACTATGCTTCGCTCGTTGCTCATTGAGGCTGTTGCGCAGAACACTAATGGTAGTGTTTATGCACCTGAGGTATGAGGAAAAAAAGAAGAAGAAGCAAATCCATATGGACATAAACATAGGCTGAACTACTACTTTTCACTGATTTTTTCTTCTACAGGGTGTTAATGATGTCGAGGTTTCTGGATCTCCAACAGAAAAGGCAATTTTGCAGTGGGGAATACAGGTGTGTTTTGGTAGTGCTGACCTTCCCCCACCCCTCCTTTTCTTTTTGGGCTAATATGCACTTCTTAGTTATAACATAATTAGTGATGACTGTTATTTCAAATCTCAGCTTGGGATGGATTTTACGGCTGCAAGATCCAAATCATCAATTATTCATGTTTTCCCATTCAATTCAGAGAAAAAAAGAGGCGGTGTTGCGTTACAAATGGTACAATCTTATTGGCATTTTTATTCAATTATGCAGATATTTTACTTTTACATTCTTGAGTAACTGAAACATTGTTTGGTAGATAAAGTATGGCTTAAACATATGTTATATCTGTAAGCCCGGGTATCATAATTTTATGCATTTTTGCAGGCTGACTCTAACATCCATGTACACTGGAAAGGTGCTGCTGAGATAGTCCTAGCCTGCTGTACAGGCTATATTGATGGAAATGATCAGCTGGTGGGGATGGATGAGGAGAAGGTTTGATTTAATGAACTTTTTACATGTTAACCTAGTTTGTCTTCAGTTTTTTATTGGGAGGGAGGGGAGGGGGTATCTAGCCCAAATAGGGAATCATCTCAAACTAGTATTTATAGTATATTTTGCTATCCCCTTGGCCCCGTTGCCAACTGATTTTTCTCCGTCTCTTGTTCTTTTATGGATTCACTTGAGAACTGCTTTAGAGAATAGATCTCAGCCGTCTGATTTTTATTCACATCAAATTATTTATGATATGGACAGAAGAGAACTAGACAGGATTAAAAAATGAATAGAATTTATCACGATAATTTTGAGATTTTTTTATAATACAAGTTTTCGAGAGCATGTCTCTCCACATTATAATTCCTTCCTAATTTCCTTTGTGTCTTTCCTAATCTGGATTACTTTTATTTGTATTGTTTCTAACAACTGTTCCTAATTGATACACTTTTTCTAATGGTTGTATCTCTATTCCAAGGGTATCGCCCCTTGATTTGCATCCCTTGACTTTATACCCTTGGATGGGTTGTAACTGTTGGGTGTTTTGCATCCTTTGAGTGTTGTGTCTTGTTGGTGGTCTAGGATTGTTGCTTCTTTTGTTAGTTTCTTGCAGGTATATCTTGGTGATAGGTGATTTATTCTTATCAATTTAATCCTTATATTTTGGGGAGATGAACTATTTATTTATAGCAAGTACCTAGAATTCCTTACCACTCGAGCAAAGAGACCAGAATATACAAGGAACTAATATATTTAGAAAATAGAGAAATTGGGATATGTATACTGATTGTATTATACAGTTTCTTCATGACTTGGTTGGTATATATATATATATATATATATATATATATATATATATATATATTATAAAAGGGTCTGAATAAAGTTTTTCTGTCTTGCAGATGGCATTTTTCAAAAAGGCTATTGAAGACATGGCTGCTGATAGTCTACGTTGTGTTGCCATTGCATATAGACCATATGAAAAGGAGAAGGTTCCAACTAATGAAGAACTACTTGCTCACTGGTCTTTACCAGAGGATGATCTTATTTTACTGGCTATTGTTGGTCTTAAGGTAAGCATTTAGAAACCTGCGTATCATTGTTACCTTTGTTATATTTTTCTGCTTGTAGATGATATCATATCCCATTGCTATTGTTGGTCTTCAATTGAAGCTGTTTAGCTATATTATTTATAGGCTTCCCATTTATTCCCAATAAATAGCTACTCCACTCTGTTGCATACTTTTATTTAACTTGTCACTTGGGAGGAAGCAGGGAATTTTAACATCTTTATTTTATTTATTACGTTATGTCTTTCTCCTTGCTCTTGGCTTTACACATGGAAGTTTTTTGTATGTATCTTAATGAAGAAACTTTGAAGGTGTTTAGTTTCTAATAGCATCAGACTTAAAATAATATTCCACATAATAAAGTTCTATGTTTATGTATATTCTTATTTTTCTTGTATGTATTGAAATTCAGGATCCTTGTCGACCTGGTGTCAAGGATGCAGTGCTACTTTGTCAAAAGGCTGGCGTTAAGGTATTTCATATAATTGATTTTGAAAGTTATTTTTTGTGAAGTATAGATGCTTCCATTATGTATCCGTATATGATTTGTATTTGATACCAATACTCTTGTAATATGTATTAGTGAAATATCCAAACCTATGAAAATACCTATACTTCAATTTTCTTATGTATTTGGATATTATTCGGTACTTTAGTGATATGTATTAGTGAAGTATTCAAGCATTTACTACATATTATACAAATCCAATCCATGTAGAAACATAGAAACACTGTCCCTTGATGAACCGAAGTAGAATGTGTTCTCTTTATAAATGACTTCAAGAAATGAATGAGATTGGTAATACTAATCCTATATATAGGTAAACTGTAGGAAGTAATTTACGAGGACTATGATTTATAATTTTTGGCCAAGAATATGTTTTTAGTTTAGATTTGTAGAATTACAATTATATATTTATTATATTTTATGAATTCTTATAGATTTCTAAATATCTATCTTAATGTATGCTATATATTTTAGAATAATCATATCTCCATATCTGTTACACATGTAGTATATGCATCATTTAAAAGTACAAAAAGTGTTATCATTGTCAGGATGGGTAATGGTGGTTTGCGTGGAGGCTATGCTCACTGGGGGAGATCATAGGACATATTTGGCTTATTAAAATTTTTATAGGGTCATTTGTTTCAACTTGAATCTAAATCTTGACCTAAGCCTAATAATGCGTGATACAGGTCTGAGTCAAAATGATCATGTTGACGTTATCAATTTGAACATATAATATGAAGCTAAAACCAAGTTATATTTTATAATATATTTTTTAAAACAAATATCAATATAATTATATTATCATGTCATGTAAAATGTTATGTGTTAGATCAAATAGTTCTTTTATAAATACATATTTGTTGATAGTTATAAATGAAGAGTGTCGGACAGTGTGGGGTTGGAAAAACTCAAATTACAAGCCAAACCTATTCTTAAAATCATATTGTTAACAATTATAAAATCTAATTTAAGACTTGCATAGGAATAGTTTTTTGTCTGGAGAATTAATTGTTTTATTTTTTACAAAATCTCTTATGAGGCAACAACAACAAATAAAAAGCAGCTATTCTCAAAAAACAATTATGAAATGTTATTTAAGACTTGCTTAATCTAATCACTTTGTCATTGTTTGAAAATGGTTTGTTTCTGGAGAATTAATTGTTTTAATTTTTGTAAAAGATATAAAAAAGCCAACAAAAAGTAATCTACTATTCTCAAAATTATTCCTAACTAAACATAAATGATAAACATAATAGCATTTTGTCATATCTAACTCACAAAACTTATCACTACTCATAAACAAGGTGAAAAAAAAAATGTGGGCAGAATAAGCATCCGAGTTTCACATGCTTGGATTACACAAAATGGAAGACATGAAACAAAAAAGATGAGAAAACTGAAGTATGCTCCTATTATTGGGAGACACAATGGAGGTTGTGCATCATGGGAATGGTTTTGTTCAATAGAGATGATTTGCAAAGAGGTTTAGAAGAGTGGGTTTCAACTACAAGAAAAAGATAATACAAGAGGGTGACAATTGCCCTTACCTGATGGGGGTGCTATTTAGAAAAAGCCCCACTCAACATGGATGTTGAGGGATGACAAAGAAGGAACCCCAGAACAGATGTGTTGCATACAGATGAATTGATGTAATAGCAGGTGCACTATTGATTGAGGAGGTTTTCTAATAGAGGTTTTAAACTATAAAATGATAAAGAAACCCTAAGCTGTATCGCTGTATGAGTGTAGATGACCGGGTTTAACATCTTCAAACCACTATTTCAGTCATGGATTCCACTGACATTTGCAGCAACCATCACAAACTTGCCATGACATTTGTATGGCAGTGTTCATGAATCTGACCACCCCACTCGGTCATGTCTGCTATTTGATAACATAGTTCACACATTTTGTTGTATGATTTGAAGTTTAGTTCACATGCATCATCTTGTTAGAGAATAAATAAAGACTAAACTTCTGTTAAATGGACTGAGTTACTAATCTTCTATCCTCTTAGCTGAAGATCATATTTTGTAGGTTACATAAGTGAGAACAGATTTAAGATCCTTGCACAGGCATTGTGCCTGCAGTACCATTTTCTCATCCCATTATGTGCGTCATTTGGTTTTAACTTTGATGCCTTTAAAATTTCTGACACGAATACTAGCCTTATTTGATTTCGTCCAGTATCATGCTTATTGAGCATTTAAATTAAAAAATGAAATATGCTTTGCTAGTACAGTTTCATTTGATTTTTAATGTTTAATGTTTTTGGTTTGGATTTCTATTCATAGGTGAAAATGGTCACTGGTGACAATGTGAAAACTGCAAAAGCAATTGCTGTGGAATGTGGAATACTGGGTTCATATGCCGATGCTACAGAACCAAACATCATTGAAGGAAAAACTTTTCGTGGCTTGTCAGATGCACAGAGAGATGAAATTGCTGATAGGATATCGGTATAATCGAATTACTATGACAGCCTTTCTTTTGTGCTCTTGTAAGTATATTATTTGAAAATAACATTTATTTTCAATCCTGTGTAACAACAGGTCATGGGGCGGTCATCTCCCAATGACAAACTATTGCTAGTACAATCATTGAGGAGGAAAGGTCATGTTGTTGCTGTAACTGGGGATGGAACAAATGATGCTCCTGCACTTCATGAGGTTTGCAGTGTCTACAATTTTTTATGCTTATGTTTGTATTTTTTGCCGTGTGCTTGTATTGTTTGGAAGTATCCATTACAATCATGACATTGATGGTAATGGTTCATTCAGTTTGACTATTTGACTGCTGTCTATCTTATATTGTTGTATAGTCTTGAAATTTCCATCCGTAGTTACATTATGTCAGTTTTATTTTAATTTTAAAGGTTTGAACTATCATTGCAATGCAGGAGTTTTTGTTCTGATACAGTGAACTAGCTTTTATTTTCTGTTTTTTAATTCTATGCATTGTGCTGTATAGGCCGATATAGGTCTTGCAATGGGTATCCAAGGTACAGAAGTTGCCAAAGAGAGCTCTGATATCATTATTTTGGATGACAATTTTGCTTCAGTTGTAAAGGTCAGTAGTACTTTCAGAGATTTTTATTTGTTCTTACTGGTGACGAATGTTAGGTCATCACCTTGAAGAGCTGTTTTTCTGTCATTAGAAGTAGAAGTGCACTTTTTGTATAATGAGAGGTTTATTTCTACAGAATTGAGGTGCATTAGATATTTGAAGCACACCTGATGATGACATTGTGTTTCTCCTGATTGTAGGTTGTCAGATGGGGCCGGTCTGTATATGCAAATATTCAGAAATTTATCCAGTTTCAGCTTACAGTAAATGTGGCCGCCCTAGTGATAAATGTTGTTGCTGCAGTTTCATCTGGTGATGTTCCACTAAATGCAGTGCAGGTTAACTTTCTCTTTCTCTTTCTAGATTATGGCCACATATGAAGTTAGGATGACATTAAAAATCTCTGATTTCTTTACAGCTTCTTTGGGTAAATCTTATTATGGACACTCTGGGAGCACTGGCCTTGGCAACTGAACCACCAACGGATCACCTCATGGATCGATCTCCAGTTGGTCGAAGGTCTGAAATTTTATTTTTTATGATTCTTATTGGGTACTTCAGATCATGGCATATGTTTGAAAAGGGTCAGAAATTTTATTACTGTAACGTTAGGCAGTGCTTGGAAAATTAGGAAAAGTATCAAGACAGTTGGAAAGGCAATTCTTGTTCTGGTTTTTTTATCTTTGAATCTTTTAATAGAAGAAAGATATTTAAAGAGAGGATAATATGCAAGACCAGGACGAGATATTGCGTAAGGAATGCAATCAGTTTATGTTATATGGAAAATCTCCCTCCAATATAAAACAAAAAATAATAGTTGTCAATAGCCATTAAGCTGTTAATGAAGGCTGAAATACTGTAGGCATGCATGGCTCTACAGAATGATCTGTGAATAATGGGTTATTTCAATAATGTGTTCTTCTGACAGAACTAAAGCTATGCAAATATCTGTGCAGAGCCCATTATTTTTGTTTGTACCATTCTCTCATTACATGAAGTCCAAATTCTTCTCTATGAATAATGGGCCAATTTACTTTTCAGTTTTATTAAGAAAACAATAGAATTGACAAATTGTTTGCTTGCTTTTTCAGAGAACCTCTTATAACAAATATTATGTGGAGGAATTTGCTGATACAGGTGAATGATGTTTCTCATTTATTAGTACCCGTTGTAGTTTTTGCTTATTTATTATCAGTTGGCTCACCCACAAGCAGCAGCCAACTACAGAATTCTGAAACATCAATGTTGGAATTTTCAGGAAATAATACAAATGCCTTATTTAATGTGTCTAAATCAATAATGGTTGGAATTTTTCAGGCAATGTACCAAGTGTCTGTCTTGCTTGTACTCAATTTCCGAGGTAGAAGCATACTAGGTTTGAGCCGAGACAACAATCAACATGCAATCAAAGTGAAGAACACTTTGATATTTAACGCATTTGTTCTCTGTCAAGTAAGTCTTCGTGACCCTGTAATGGGAAAATACAGGTAGCTATGCTTATCGGCAATGTGCCTTACTAATTCAACCAACTAACCCGACTAATTATTGCAACTAATTGATAGTAACAACTAATTGTTAGTAAGGGGTATCTATTTCACCTTGTCTTGAACCTTGACGGACAACTTGGGTCTCTGCTGAAAATAAAATCCCACTGATGTTCTAAGTGATTGAAGCATGATGACCAAGCCAAACCTGACCATTGACACCAAAATTTGCTTTCACTCTTCCTGGGTCGTAGACAACATGTGATTTCCTGTCAACAATGTTATTTGGCTATACACAATATCAATGCCTTTACTTAAGAACTGCACTATGGCAAGTGATATCATAGTCGTTCACTACCTTCTATTGGGCCGACCCACTGGATCATGAAAACTGTTCAGCCCATTATTGTCGCCTAATGCTTTCATCTCTAAAATACATTTTTTTTTGCCTTATCTTCCTCCCTCCCATCCACAAGCAAACTTTTCTGATTTTTAACATGGCTGCATGCAAAGATCCATGCTTCTCCGTGGACAACTTTGCCTCTCCTATTCTGGGTCGAACCCATTTGCACCTCCCTCCTTTAGGTCCTATACGAAGATAACAGTTTGGTGATTTTTGTGATTAGGAGGTGGAAAATAGATGCTATAGGTGTGGACTGAGCAGTGTTATCAGTTGCTGAAAATGGTGAAAAACCAATAATCAGCTATAACATGAGTGGAAGTCACATAATTATTGAATGATATATCTATTAAGAGTAAGTTATATGCAAATCAAAGAAAATACATAAAAATTGGCAGTAGTGAATGAAGTCTCTATCACAGATCTTTGAAATTCCAGCGCTTTAGCAGCTATCTAACAACACTGGGCTTTAGTGCCCACCCTCCTTATGCCCTGTTTATTATGATGAAATAGGAGGGAGGGAGTGGAAATAATGTTGGTTAAATGGAAATAGCGTGAAAATAGCGTTGAGGTTCATTGTCATGTTTTCACTTTATTTCTCACTTTCTATCTTCTTATTTTTTTCTCTGCTTCTTTGCAACTAAACTCTTTTAATTTCTACTTTATTTTCTTTCAGTTTTTCTATTACCATCAATTCTATTTCTTTTGTCTTTACCAAACAGGCCTTAAAATAATTTGAATTGTGTGCATCTGATTAGGAGAGGTTTGTTCAGCTGTTGACTTGCCCACTTCCATGGTTGAAATTATGTTGAGGGTGCTCTGGCGGGGATGGTAGATAACAAAATGTTAAAAGGCAAGAAAATGAGAGGGAAAATAATTAGGGTATTGAGTAGTTACTGAGGTTTTGACAAATCGTTGGAGAGAAAGTAATTCATATTCATAATACATGTTTAATGGATTAAATAAGGGAAATCATGGCATTAAGCTTATAACTTGGATATAAAATTTGTAATTGGTTGTAATAAACATTGGTGATTTAAATTTTTGCATGAAAATTTAAATTAGTATTAAATAATTTTCTTTATGGAAATATTCATAATTTCTTTAGCCACTCTTTGATACTATTTAAGCTCTCACGCAATATTCATAATTGCGTACTATCTCTGGAACTGTTGTTAAGTTCGAAGTGTACGGAACTTTCTATAGGCACTTTTATTGATGTTTAACTGTTTTGAGATAAATTTGGTGCACTACGTTTATTTTGAGATCAACTTATTCATATCTATCGATATGATGGAACAGAATTAGAGTATTTCCATTCACATAAGACTTTGGATGGCTTGCATCTAATATATAGTATTTCCGTTGATTGTACCCCATTGTTCCAGCAATTATATTCTACTTCCTCTTATCAACATTCATGTTGGGTTCTTTCTTCCGCCATTTACATTGTTCTAAATCATTTTGATTGTGGAATAGCATGGGATATGTTCTCAGTTCATTTTGCTCCTTATATTTATTGTCACGTTCTTTTTTCTTCCTATTCTCTTGTACTTGATGAGTGATGAGAAAGACAAAATTCTTTCAAATCTGCAGATCTTTAATGAATTTAATGCTCGAAAGCCAGATGAGTACAACATATTTAAAGGAGTCACGAGAAACTATCTCTTTATGGGTATAATTGGATTAACTGTTGTGCTTCAGGTAAGTCTTTTTAACACTCCCCTGGTAGTTTTAAGCCATGGATGTGAAATATGTCTAAGAGCGACATATAATTGCAACTGTTTTTCAGATTGTCATCATTGAATTTCTGGGCAAGTTTACAAAAACAGTGAGACTTAATTGGAAGCAGTGGCTCATCTGTGTCATTATTGGATTGATTAGGTCAGTTAATCATACACCCTCTAGAGCTAGCCAATTGTATGTTCTTCTTTGCATGCATTCTTTTAAAATAAATTTTCAGAGTGTAAACTTGGAAATGTCTTGAATTTATTGTTTAAATCTTCCTAAATATATGCTCGAAAATCATATTATGCACAAGTGGTCACAGGATACATCAGCCCTCTCACCCTTTCCTTCGTACTTTTCAGTTGGCCTCTTGCTGTGATTGGGAAATTGATCCCAGTGCCAACCACTCCTATCAATAACGTTTTTTCAAAATGTGGGCCTTCTAGAAAGAGGGAACCTGAGGAATCTCAATAGTCAATATGGTGTCTGCTGTTTCAAAGAATCTCATTCTGCTGTTTCTTTTGTTGTCCGACTGTCGGCATATAATGGAATGGATGGATACTGCACACGAACACGTTTATCTTTCTACTGATCTAAAATTATTTTAACATGTTAATTTGGAATTGGTTTATACTTAGGTTCTAACCCGAATACACCGAATCTCAGTTAGTCTTGGTTTTTATTAAATATATACAAGTTTGACATTGATTAATATTTTGCAGATTTGAAAACTTGTAAAGATATGGTTGATTTCGTTTTGCTTGTATTTTTTTTTTATGCCTGGATTTCAGTTTCCTCTGTTGATTCAGTAATATTATTTCTATTCATTCCCTTCGAAGTGAACATATAGCCCAATGAGAAACTGTATGTGTTAATTTCACCGGCGTAAGACTAATGTAGTAGTTTCTTGTGCTAATTTTATACAAATATGGCATAATGTGTGGTTGATGAAGGCTGTAAACTGCCAAATCTGCAAGTATTTTGAAATTAAATAATTAGACGCGATTTGAGTGTAAATTTTGCATGAGGGAGCATTTACCAATTTGTTCTCTAAATAGATACATTTTTCTTGCGTAGGGTAACATTACGAAGAAGAAAGATATTGGATAGAGGAAAGAGAAAGATACGGATAAATATAACTACTGTCAATTGAAATTACAATGTAAAAATAGTATCAGATTTGGAATGAAACAGAATTTAAACTTTCAAATTACAAAGACAATAGTTTCTTAAAAAAAATACAATATTAACCCAACATTTATAATTAAGGAAAATGTTAACCCAGCGTTTGTTAAGGAAAAATTCCACTCAAGGAGAAGACTAACGTGGAAGAATCACATTTTATAGGAAGACTCTTTAAATTTTAAGTGTGGCTTAAAGTTTCACTTTATGTAAAATTGAGAGTTGAACTCTGAATCAAAGTTTAAAAATATTAAATAATATAAAAGTGAGAAATATAGTATAAAAAAATGAAAAATTGAAATATAAGCGATTATTTCTCTTAAAGATTTATATAAAAAAATAATATCATATTTTATTATTTAATTAACTTGATAAATATTTTATTATTTTTTTCCCATAAAAATTTTCAATCATCAATTACCATATTTTTAGCAAATATTGCAACTTAGACAAATTGCACATATCAAGGTGTATATATTATTCTACACCCAAAAATCATGCATACTCGTTCTACTTTTTAAACACTTACATTCGATTTTATCGGCTACCTTCCCATGCCAGATATGTCAACAGGCAAATCATTTTTTGTTCAAGTTTTCAAGAATTTCAATTTAAAATGTTTGTGTTTTCCTTAAGAAACTATCATTCTCAAAAAATATATCTTTTAACAAAACATTTTAAAAGGTGGTATATATACAAATTCCATGATTCTCGCAAAAACGAAAAATCAAATTAAAATAAAAAATAAAAAAACTATTCTCAAGAAACATAAATTTTAAAAGTTTATAGAATTGAACAAGATTCTACTTGTCACATGTCTAACAAATTTCTCAATATTAATTGAACCTGTACATACAAAAATTAGTCAAAATTATGCATTACACGTCACGGACTAGCAGCCACTTTGTGATGAACTATGATCAAATGCTTAGTCAAAAAGTTAAATTTTCTGCAACCCTTATTTAATTAGATTTCATCAACATCTTTCAAATTTTTAATATTAATTGTTTCATGATAGATTTAAAGTTCAATATGCATAATGGGTTAGTCCAATCTATTGGTAACTAGGTGTGTTAACCAACTTCAAATATCTAAACCTAACAAGTAAATCATATCTCAATTATAAGTAAATTCCTATGTCACTAAGATAATTTAGATACAATAAGAAAATGTGTATAAATGGGTGTGAAAGCTTGAAGAAGATCTCAATATAGATACAATAATAATTTCTAAAAAAATATTTTTTTCTACCAAGTTTATGCATAGATTAACCAAGTTAATTAATATAATACAATTTACATTTTTTCTTTATATTTCTTGAATATTAGAATTTGTTGAAAAATTTAAATGTGTGTTTAAGTCTCGTATTAAGTAAGAGTGAAAAAGTTGAATAAGAAATAAAAAAGAAAGACTTAACAATAGTATTAGAACCTATAATTTCGTAGTAGGTTAGATAAACGTGTCCTATTATGATTAACGACGTTATATGATAAGAATAAAAAAGTTAATCAATATATAAAAAAATATGATCCTAATAACTCATGTTTTATTGATGTTGTCTCTCTCTGAAAAATCATCCAAAATGATATTAATCTTTATATAGATTGAATTCATATCAATCATCCAAAATTTCAAGAGAATCTAATTGAAATTGAAATATAAAAGTAAATATTTAATCTACTATTGAATAATTTCTTGTCTCTTTCTCAACTTCTAATTTATTTATTTATTTATTTATTTTTGTAATATCAACTACTAATTTAAAGCGTTTGAACTGTATTATATCTAATTCAAAATTAAATTATTCAAGTAATAAATACTATGTTTGCGTCAACGTTTTTCTATATAATTCAAAATCAATTTATATATGTCATAAAGTAATGTTTGCATCAACATTTAAAACACATGTACTCTTCTTTAAATAAAACATTTATAACTAGTTATACACACACATTGAATTTTTTTTTAACTTTTCTTTCTCATTATTCATTAATGTAAAACACAGATACTCGTAGCATTTTATGGAATATAATAAGAAAAAATATTTTATTAACATTATAAAATATTTTATAAAAAAGAAATATTTTTTTTTGAAACTGTGTTTGAATTAAATAATAGAGTATAAAAATATGCAGAAGCCACACTATGTAAATCACAAGATGAAATTTTAATAACTTTAGACTAATTTTCATGTTTATCAGAAACATTTAAGCCAATAATTTGATTCAAACATTAATTTAATTACTAAAAGATTTAGAATTTGTCAGTTTTAAAAATATAAAAATAACTGTTTCTAAAAGCAAGATAGAAATAACTTTTTTTCTCCAAAATAAGAAAATTTTGAAGTTTTTTTTCTTTTCAAATTCTATAATAATGTTAAAAAATCATATTGATAAAAAGTTTTCTTCTTTTGGAGAATGAAATCGTTTGTTTTTATTTTACTGGAATTGAATTTCAAATCTTTTAGATGACTTTACCCTAATGTTTCCTAACCCTATATCATTAGGCCATCTTCATTGGCCAGAAGACAAGCTAATTAATTCGTTTAATTGAGCTTTAAGCAGTTGAAAAAAATTGGGTTTAATTAGTATTTTCAAACAGAAATTTTAAAGCTGAATTTTTTTAACCAAGAGTTGAATTTTCTTCTATCTATAACGTGCATTTTTTTTTCTATCGGATAAGTTTATAAACCCATTAAATGGTATATTTCTGTAATTTAATTATTTATATTTATACTAAAAAAAACAACATTTAACCATAATTTAAATTTTTTAAATACATGATACTATATATCATTTATCATTGAATAACTTGCATGCTTATTAAAACATGAATAAATGAAAACATGACAAAATAAAATTTATCTTTCATTTATTTTCAAATAAAGAATAACACATTTTAATCTGTAACCAATTAAGTGAAATTTTCTAATATATATATAAGTTGAAAAAATGGTACGAAGTTAAGTCACTTGTGCATCAAAATGTCTTTAATGTTATGATTGTTTATGCAAACTCAGCACAGGTTACAACTTTAGACTTAATATTTTTTATTCCAAATATGAACATAATATTCTACCAATATTTCAACGGATCTCTTTGATTTATTTTTAAGTGATTTATTTCAACACTGTCTAAAGTATGTTTATATAATAACTAAAAAGAATCAAATTAATTTTAGAATATAATTTGAAAATAATTTTTTTTATTCAAATCCAATTTAAAAATATTGTACCAGGTTGATTAGGTGCAATTCTAGCTAAGAGTCAAATACCGAAACAAGTACATTAGTCACATTTATATATTTATATTTATAAAACTCGTTTGACTTGTTTCGATTTTTATTTCTATTTCTAACTTGAACCAATTTAAATATAATTTATATACTTTTTGTTCTATAAAACATTGTAGCGTAAATTATGTATGTCTTTTATTTTTTTATTTAAATTTTTGACCTGTTTATTATTATTAGAATGAAAATTGGATAAATGTTAGTTTATTGAAAAAATATATTTGATGAAATGTTTAAAGGTTAAATAAATTTTTGTAGGGCATGATTGAGTCAACCAGTATCCATCTTTTTAAGCAAACATGTTTATTTCGTTTAAAAAACCATGTTTCTATTAAAAAATATATTAGGCTTATCCAAAGGGAGTAAAAATAAAACAATACCACTCATTAATTAATATAAAAATAGCATTAATAAGGGATCTTCTATTTATTATTCATAAACACAAAATACGAAAATTAACCATTATAATTATTTAATTTGCTTTCTAAGAAGATAGTCACTTTAAAACAACCTAATTAGAGACAAATCCCAGAAAACCCATCAATTAATATATATGATAAATGATTATATTATATAAATTTATTGTCGGATTTTTTCTTTAAAAATTAGAGAATCTACATAAAGTATCGTTCACCTCGACTATTAATTAACGCGAGATTCATAAAAAAGTAATAATAATATAATATAATAAAACATATATATATATATATATATATATATATATATATATATATATATATATATATATATAACCAGGACTTTTAATTACGGAATTGAGAACTTACGTGAAAAAATTACTAATAAATAATAATCAACATATAATATTTAATTGTATTAAAAAATAAAATACATTATCTATAAACTAAATAAAGTTAAGTTGATTATATATGTTATTGATCTAAATAATACGAAAACTATTCTATTTAAAAAAGTTTGGTGTTTTAATCAATAATATTATTATAAAGTTTTTATTAAATTCTTTACGATCAATTTAAAAAAAAAAATATATATATATATATATATATATATATATATTTGAAAATAAAATTGCTTTTTATAGTCCCATATTCTTTTCATTTTATTTTAATTGTTATTTTAAAATTTGTTTTTATTTCTATTTATCTATTATTTAAATGTTTATATAAGATGAATTCAAATCACTATTTTTTAAATAAAGTGATGATATTTTCACACGACAAATAAAAACATTCATTATACAACCTTGTTTATTAATATTAAATTTATAAAGTAATTAATTTAAAATAAAATTAATTAAAAAATTAATTAATTTAAAATAAAATTAATTAAAAATTATTATTTTATTAATAAATAAAATCATTGACTGAATATTTATGGATAATGAATTGTGAATTTATCTTTTTCCATTTTAATATATCCTTATGTTTACACTTATCAAGAAAGGAAAGAATCACCAATATCTAATAAACATATTTTAAAATGATGTTTTTAGAAAATACAAATAGTTTTGACACAAGGAAAAAAAATGCCCTTTTTATTTATTTTATTTTATTAGTACTTTAGTCGATGTATTTCTCAGTATAAATATTCATTTTATATAATTAAAATTCATAATAAATAATCAATAAATAAATTATGTTATATATGTACATTTCAGGGAAATAATCAGTAACCTTTATGGAAGAAAAGAACGATTACAAGTATAACATTGATTATTAAAATATGAACATATATAAATTTTTTTATTCTAAACACTAATTAATTTATAGAATGTTTGATATATTAAAACGGGAGATATATATCATCATTCTTATTCTAATTAATATTTCTCACAAGAAACTTAGGATTTAAGTTATAGTTTTTTTTTATAATTTAATGATTAATATAAATTGTTATTTTAAATTAAGTAAAAATAAATAATAAAATTATATATGTATATGAAAGGGTGGTGGTAAATGGTAAAGATGGAAGAAGATGGGTTTGCAAACATTTGACCTACGGCTCTTGTACTTCCATTCCACGTCATTCTCCAATCAACGTCTCGTTCTATTCCGTACGTCTTTTCCTTCTTAATCTCATAAATTTGTGCATTCAATTCGTAGAAAAAACAAATAAAAAACTTTTCTATTCTATTCCTTTTTCACCCACTTGTACTTTGCGTACACACTATATAATAATCCTCACTCTATTCCCAACCCTCAACCCTCATCTTCTTCTGTTCTTTCTCTCTCTTCAACCATTGGAATTGGTTTATGAAAAGAAAAGAAGGGTTTATTATGAACATGTACCATTTGCAACAGCTTCATCATCATCAACCCATGACGAAGATGGATTCTATGAGAAAGAGGGAGAGAAACAAAAGCATGGTGGAGAAAGAGAGGCTTCATGTGATGGACTTGAGTGGCATGGCCTTGGACTCTCTTCCCAAACCTTCTCTTGATTTTGCCACCATTTGCAAGTTGGACTTATCCAACAACAATCTCCAGGTTTCTTTTCATTACTTCACTCATTTTTTTCAGCTTTTCAAAATAACTTATATTTCTTGCGAAATAATAATTTTTTTTTTCCAGAACACGGATTCTAAGTATTATTATTTTTCATATGGGGTTGAGTTTGGTTAGCCAATATATATAATCTTTAACTCTGCAAAATATGATGTTTCTGTCTGTTTATAAAAAAAGATTAAAAGCTTTCGGCAATCGATCTTCTGCAGTCTGCAAGGTTCAAATTCTTTACTGAGAAACATGGTCTACTTAATTTTCCTTCCTTAACCATGCAGTTATATAAAGATGATATCAGTTCTGAAGGGCATCATGGATATTAATGATTAGTTTAACATAGAATAATAAGAAGATAGTTTTTCATTCTACAGTTGGTATATGAATTAAAGAGTATGAATCTATTTTTGTCAAAATAATTAATCAAAAATTTCTTTCAGTTTGAAGAATGATCATTGATCAATTAGATCTTTAATTTTTTTTCATTCTTCAAAACCTTATTTAAGAGAATTGACTTAATAGTTTATCCTCTAAATTGATAATATAATAAAAAAAAAAGTGTTACTGCGACAGGACATTCCAGAATCCTTAACTGCGAGACTCCTGAACGTGGAGGTGTTGGATGTTCGTTCCAACCAGCTTAAGTCTCTTCCTAATTCCATTGGTTGTCTCTCTAAGCTTAAGGTTTTGAATGTCTCAGGCAACTTCATCGAATTCCTCCCCAAAACCATTGAGAATTGCAGGTTTGGTTTTTGTTTCATCACTTCTCTTTCCACCAGTATATTTGTATGGTAATTAAATCAAGTTCTGGGAAATTGCATAAGATTTCTATTCAAGTAGAAGTAATCATAATTGTGTGTATGTACTCAATTTAACTCACTTGTCCTATACCAAATTAATAATTTTTGGCACTGAAACAAAGCATAACAAGTTATGGTTTAAATGGTAGTTATACAAGTTCAACGTCAACCTTACGTAAAAGAGAAATCCTAGTTTTATACTCAATACATATTTTTTTACAATTTTTTCTTTAGCTGAAAGGTTCTTCCTCTGGTCTACGTTATCATGATGAAAGTGTTTGTGGACAAAACGTTTCCGTTCTTCATTTTTCTTTTGGGGGTACTACGGCCTTAAATTCCGCGTACCAAAGTCAACAGATACTTCACCATGTTCATATTCGAAAGCTTAATAAAACATAGATTTTTAAACCTGTTTAATTTATTGTATGATCGCTAATTATGTAAGATGATAGCAACCCATATACTTTTCTTTTGAAGAAAACCATTTCAATAATTTGGGAAAAATAAGCACCGTGCGTGGTTTGCCATCACAAATTAAGGGTTACAGTTTGAAAAAAGAACCCCTCTTTTTTGTATATTATTTTTCCGTGATTGTAGTTATATTTTGGATTGCACATCAAATCAAAGGTAGGTGCACTTTTACTAATACAAATTTCAAATATGGCTCAAGTTATATGACTGAAGGAGGAGCCAAATGATGATGAACCTCAACCTTTTGCAGTGTCAAAAGGCACCATTCACACAACAATAATAAATCTATAATACAAAGTCAAATGATGTGTAACCACAAGAATCATCTCCATTTAATTATTCTGATTCTTCAATCATTTTCCATCCTAATTCAACATGCATGCATGTTATGATGATCAGAGCATTGGAAGAACTGAATGCGAACTTCAACAAGCTGAGCAAGTTACCAGACACAATAGGGTTTGAGCTGATAAACCTGAAGAAGCTCTCAGTGAACTCCAACAAGCTGGTTTTTCTTCCCAGCTCCACCTCACACCTAACATCGTTGAAGGTTCTGGATGCACGCTTGAACTGCCTAAGGGCACTTCCGGAGGACCTTGAGAACCTCATCAACCTTGAGACCCTGAATGTGAGCCAGAACTTCCAGTACTTGGAAACCCTCCCTTATTCTGTAGGGCTCCTCTTGTCCCTGGTTGACCTTGACGTAAGCTACAACAAGATCAAGACCTTGCCTGAATCCATAGGGTGCCTGAAGAACCTCAAGAAGCTAAGTGTTGAAGGGAACCCTCTGGTTTGTCCCCCAATGGAGGTGGTGGAGCAGGGACTGCATGTGGTGATGGAGTTCATGCAGCATAAGATAAACTCGAGCGATCAACACCCAACAACAAAGAAAAGGTGGTGGATGGTGAAGATGGTGAAGTGTGGAGTGAGAAGTGGAAAACGACGAGAGCACGAGGGTTACAACATGCTGAAGCAACAGAGAATGAATGGTTTTGCTTCGCCAGGCTTCATGGGGATGCTCTCTCCTCTTCGTCTCTTCTCATCTCCCCGCCATCCTCGCCATTCTCGCCATTCCATCGGTTGACAATATTTTTGTAAATCACTCTCATTTCCAGACAAATTACTACATAATCTTACCAATTTTCATGTGCTAGCCGTTCAGATTTTATTTCTTTTTCATGGAGTTGAAAAATCTCAATTATATGTTGCATGAGCTTATTAAAGATTACCGTGCCTACATTTATCTGACATTGACATGGATTACATTTTTAAAAATATATTTTATTTTTAACTAAATTCAATAAAATAGATTGGATATATTTTTAACTTAAATTCAATAAAATAGATTGGATTTGAAAGCACATGTTAATTAACGTACCTAAAGAATTAAAACGGTTAATTAAATTAATAATAATTTGCATTTAAAGTTTAAGACTAAATTAGTTATTATTATTATTATTATTATTATTATTATTATTATTATCATAAAAATTATTAAAAAATAAGATTAATTATCACGTCTTATGCCTTGAAAATATATACAATTAAAAAAAATAATAAATTCAAACAATTAAAGCTCTATTAAATTTTCATATTGTTGAAGGATTTTTTTAATAATCATGATAAATTTTAACTAAAATTTTAATCTTGTTCCTTGAATTTAGTTAAAATTTTAATTTAGAGAAAATTTTAGGATTTAATATAATCCCTAAGGCATGAATGTTTAGTATTTAAGTTTTGAAAATGTTAAGATTTATTAGTTATTGGGTTAAGAATGATTAAATTATGTCAAACATATGTTAGAATTGTTAAGAATTATTAGTTGTTTCCTATGTTCCACTCTCTCAGGATGTTGTTACATTTATTAGGAAAAAAAAAAAACAATTTTACATTACTTACGTCTACGGAGGAGAGTCCCATTGATATTTTTTGGCATTGTTAAGAATTATTAGTCATAAAACTAAGTTTAGAACCTTTTAATTAGTTGGAAATACGATTTAGTTAGTTCCTTAGTAGTGTTAAAAGAATGTATTTTACCATTGTTAGATTTATCAAGTATAAATCAAGTCAATAATTTAATTGATTCAAATATGAAGAAATGATTGGAACATAATCTCTTGTATCAACACGAAGGTATATTAAATGACATATAATTAAATTTTTGTATATAAATGAGATGCGTTGAAAATCACATGTATTACCCTCTGCAAGAGACTTAAAATGAGAAAATTACTTCTTAACCTCAAAGCGAGAGATATATATAGTTGAAAAATCACTTATTACTCTTGATGCAAAAGACATATTAAAATTTCATATAAATATAACTAAATTACAGGAAATGAATAAAATATAAATATTATCTTTGAAATTGACCTATTTACTTTATGAATATATTTTCAATTTAATATTATTTATAATTACTTCATGTAAAGATAATTATTATTATTATTATTATTATCATTTATCCTTAAAAAAAATACTTTGTATAATAACAATTCCATCAAATATATATATGAATCATAAAAACAAGAGCTTTCACTTCGTTAACTAGTCAATCAGAAACGCTTAAATTCCATTACCAATAATCATGATAGAAACGAAGTATGTTATGATTTGTCTTTTATTGATTAGTTTGGTCCGCTGTGTTTCCAACAATAAAAGGTGTGGCGATTATGAATGGATTGCGAGTTAGGGTGTATGTATGTGAAAATAATATCTCCAAGGTATCGTTGAGTTGAAAATCATGGTGGCTTTGTCTGTTTGTGAAACTTTCAAAGTCAAGTTTGTTCTGAAGATAATCAATAGCTGTTAGCCAGAAAGAACGAGGGAGTCTAGTTTCTTAATTGAATATTGATCGGTTGAAGGCATTTGCTCCTGTTTCCACGCATCTGTATTCTACAATTATCTAAAAAACCAAGACCAACTGCATTATTTATTTTCAATTTGCAAAGCTTTACAAAATACTCTAAACCAGCACACCACACACACAGCAAACAGTATTACTATTTTACTTCCTTTTTAGCGTAATATAAAATGTTATACATTTATCTTATCCAATGACCATTCTGACGGTATAAATACGCGATGCAAGAACTATAATGTTTTCTAAATCAAACAAATTATTTTTATAATTGAAAACTAATCAAGTTGCTTATTCAAAATAATAGCCCCACATCTTAGTTAACCACAGAATCTCCATAAAAAATCTTAATTATTGGGATAAAAAGAAAAGAATGCTATAAACCAAAAGAAAAATTATGGTTTGACAACTTGGTATATAATAATATATTGACAATCACTTCTGATAATATAATAATAATAATAATTATATTATTATTAAAAGTGATAATCAAATGTGTGTATATTCTAAGTTTTATTGTTAATATATCAACGCCCAATAAAAAAAGAGATCAACAAATTTTTACCAAATCAAGGAAATGGGTAGGTTCAAACTTCCTATACCTCACTTTTCATTACTTTGGGAATCAACTTTTCCGAATATAAAATATATTCCAAAAAGTCCATTTTGAGATGAACGAAGGTGGGGAAAAGAAAACCTTGAGGTGGAGAAAAGATAACCAATGCATAAACAGATTTATACCCAAATAACAGTAAGAAATAACAGATCCAGCAACAATAAAAATGCTACTAAAAGCATGCACACCAACAACAAACGAAACCATCATTTTAGACATCCACAAATATGCGATGCATGTTGTTCAAGGTTGAACCTCTGCAAGCAATATCAATCAATGAAGTACACATTGAGATGCAGACACATTGCTAATAAGGACACTACTAATTTCCAAAATATAAAACACTAGATACGGTTGATTATATAGTTTACAATGTAATAACAATATTGCTAAGTTTTACAATCTATTATAATACACAGTAGAATTTTAAATATCTCTGAAAAGTTAAAATAACTATTCAAAACTTATTAAATTGTTACTGAGTCTTACATTATTTGTAATATAAGTTATTTTAAATTTTTCTTTTTACCTTTTTACTATGATCGTGTCTAAGAAGGGGTTGGTAAAAAATAAGTATCAATTCACTTTTTTAACCTGTGTTGAAATCATATAGAAGATGTGTTGAAGAAGTGTTTGAACTGAAAAAACATATTTTCCTTGCGACGCAATTGAGGAGTGTAAGACACATATCAAGGACATGCATGGGCTTCAACAAGCATCGTGTCAAAGACACATCAACATGCTATTCTACATATGTGTTAGTGCTTTCTTGCTATCAGTGAATATATCTCAAAGAAGAGAAATAACTACCAATGCAGCTAACAAATCTTTAGCAGTGAAACATAATGCAACCAAGATTCCTTAATTATGATCCTTGAGTAACATATATCAAGAATTGAAAGCAAGAATATACAACAGTTGACAGAGTCACTAGGTATAGATTTAATTAAAAAAATCAATATCTACATTAATTTACAACATGCAAGCAAGCCAAACTTAGGAATGGTTGGACATAATAATGCGCACGCACAAAAGCAATTGAATTACTGATTGCAACAGAAACCTCAAATTGATCAAGTTCACATGATTTAGTGACTGTTTATATGACATTTATTTGTAACATTCAAAAAAGTTTATTTGATTACAAATCTTACTGTTATAGATTTGACCTTCACAGCTCATACTTCATTTGTAACCAAAATGTACTTCCAAATCTATCACAGATAATAATTTTGTATATATTGAGAATAAATACCACAAGACTCCTGTTTGCCACTCCCTATGCTGGATCATGTGGGGTGCAAGGTGGGAGAAAGGAAATTAGAGGAAATTCAGCGCCATTGCCAGGGGAATCTGTCATGTAACAAAGTGCTACATAGGCTGGAGGAAGAAAATGAGGGAAGAAAAGAGCAAAGCCTAATCAAGACCAAAAATCATTTTGTCTCAACAATATTTAAACTTTTGGTTTCAGGTTACAAACATGATCTAAGACTTGATAGGAGGATATATTGCAGGCTAAAGTGAAGGCAAATTAACCATAGTGGGAAAGAACTACCATAACAGATTTGCCTAGATCATGTAAAAGGAAAACTAAAAAAAAAAAGTAATCTTCCACTCATAAAATTCTATTGCATGTTCTTTGAGATATCAATTGGCCATTAAAGAAAAGACTTTCCGCTTAGCCTGATGATAATTATCAATAGTACGGTGAGCCAATTATCAAGTCAATTTTCTGCTTCTGCAAACATCCCTAAGACATAAAAAGGAAAGAAAGATTATTATTATAAAAGGTATGTTCTATTCTAGATGAAGAAAAGAATAAAATAATTAAAATAATTTTTCTTTAAAATAAATATATCTTGTACATAAAACTAATTTATAAAATTTTTCTCATATTAGTTTTTCTAAATGATGATTTTAATGATCGATAAACTAATTTTAGTTTATGGAAAAATTTATTTCATTTCCTCTTTTCATTTTCTGTTCTAAAAGTGTTTATAGAGAAGTTCATCCAAACAAGTCTAAATGTTCACAAACAACAAAGACATAAATTGCTGCCTAAAGTACCTAGATTCTATCATAGTGCTACAGAGAAAGGAGTGAAGGAAATATTTTACTTGGTACAAAGGAGGCCAATGTAGATTTGTTGGGGGAGTAGTAGACTAAACTACAGGCGAAATCTCCATGCCAGATTTTGATCCCAGGAACAACCAAACCCAAGGGACCTCGTGCTAAGAGAACGCTAAGTTACTGTCAACAACACAAGCCACTATTGTTCCAAGTAATTGAAGCTAGAAGAATGCAGGACATTTCAATCACAAAACAGAGGAAACAAACACAAAACAGAGAGATACACACATTATATCAGTAAGAGGAGGAGCAAAATCATCCCACAACAACAACTAAACTAGGAAAAGTATAGACAAAGCTCATAAACACAACACAATCAGTCAGTCCATAATCGAATCTCCACTCACATTTTCAATGGCGAGTTTTTTCCGCTCCTAGAATTACCAGTAACCCCTAATCTAAGAGTGTAGTGTTTACAGGTGTACAAGAACGAGGCAGTTCACCAAATAGCATTGCCCCTTAACAAACATGTTCCAATCCACAATAAACACTAACCACAACCAAACTAGCACACATAAATCATATGCACAGCACATCAAACAAACAAGAAATCTCAGCGACCACAGTTATTTTACTCCAAAAAGTACATTTCCATATAAATAACACCAAATCAGATCCAATTACTACATCCATGTCAATTCATCAACCCTAGAAACCGCGAAATCGAAACCTCATCAAAAGTGAAACTACAAATTACTTAAAGCGCATGAGTTCATCTGAGATAGGCAGGGATCTTGATGCGGATGAACAGCATACTCATAACGTATGCTATGACGACGGAGGAGACGCCGGCGGAGGCGTAGGAGACCTTGACGGACTTGGCGCGGTTACGATCGAGCGCGAGATCGAGGAGAATGATGCCAATTCCGCCAACAATGAACATGAAGCCGGAGGAGAGGCCTTCGATTATGTACTGCCCGTTGACGCGGCCGGACATGAAGACGACCGGGCGCACGGCGCCGGTGTAAGGGTCCTGCAAGGATCCAATGCCGGGAGGCTCCACGATGATGTCGTACACGATGCCGGAGACAACCATGAAGTAGGTGAGGAGGACTAGAGCGAAGACGGCGTTGGGGGAGGGGAGGGTCAGGGAGGGGAGTTTCAGGCGGAGCCGCGGGGGGCGGAGGAAGCTGAAGGGGAGCACGCGGAGGAGGTGGAAGATCGGATCCAGCGTCGCGACGGAGGAGACGCCACCGCTGGAAGAGGATGGAGGCGGGGCCGCGGGCTCCGATTTGGCTCGCATTTTGCGCGTCGGGTTTCGGGAGAGAACAATAGTGATGTGTTGAAACTGTGAACGAGGAAAATGTGAGTGTGAGTCACTCGGCGAGTGTGATTGGTTGGTTAGTTTCAAGAAAAATTAGAGAGTTGAAAAAACGAAAACGTGATTTGAGAAGCTTACGTGGATTATATACATTTTTTTTCTTCATTTTTAACTGTTTATGAATCTACAAATAAATCACCCATCTAGTTTTCACACATATAACACCTTGCTATATTGATCCATGAAATTAAGGGATATTCGAATTTTATATTTTTTAAATTTATTTATTATTCCGATATATTTTAGACATGAAATATATACTTTTTTTTAAAGAAAATGATTATTTTAGATAAAGTATATAGTATATGGTTTGTATATATATGGAGATTGGGGCTACTTCGCTTTCTGCCGACAAGAACAATTTTTGGGGCAGCACTGAAAAAGGTTGCAACAATAAATGCTAGATCGTTGTACATTTGATATTTAACTCAAATTAAAGATTAATTTCGTCTGAAATAACTCTAATATTAAATTAAACAAATAATATAATACATAATATTGTGTATATTTACATGAGTGCTGACAAACTTAATTTTGAATGAATTTTAAAATAGTATAATTTATATGTGGATAGTTTTTTTTATAAAGAGTAGTTAATAGTAAATATCAAAACAATTTTTTATCCAATATAAAAACTATCTAAAATTACATTTGTGTGTAATCAGAAATTATTATTGATTTTTATTTGAGAGCTAACTCATTTTTTCCTACAATTTACAAAAGTAAAAATGATATTTCTACTGAAAATTAGTCAACTAAACATATAGTAGTAAAATTTACTTGTTAACCGGTATTTCAGGTAATTATGTCCACCCCGAAAACGCACCACGATGAGTAAGAGTTCCGACAGCTGCCATTTTCCGCTGTTATCGGTCTTCACGCCACGTGTCATTGCTCTTTTCTCTGTTTTTTTTTTTTTTCTTGTACCTTTTTTTCTCTTTCTACGCCTCTGCATATTATTCAACCAAACACGGCACAAGCAGCATTTTAGCTTGTACACACACTCACTCACTCGCTCAACAGAGTGCTCTCACTCATTCTTACGTTAATTTACTTATTTCTTGTCAGCTTCCTTGAAATCCTTGTCTAGGGTTTGGTCTCACCAATCTGCCCTCTGCAATTGTAAAATGTTTAGCTTCTTCATCAGGAAAGGCGTCAGAAAGATCCTCAAGCGCAAAGACAGCGATGCTGGTGAAAAAGGTTCTTTTTTTTTTCATCAAATTTCGTGAGTTTATGAGTGGTTTAAGCTTTACCATTCTTGCCCATTTGTGTTTGGGGAGCATTTTGGACCATTTTTGTTAAATGGGGCTTAGTTAGATGGTAGACTATTGACTGTTTCTGTGCTTTGGTAATGATTAGTAAGGTTCCTGTGCATAATGGACCTTGTGCATTGTTGCCTTCTTTGTGGATTGCTGAGGATATTATTTGTCTGGCTTATGCTCTCATAGTTGATAGTTTCAGTAGGAATATTACACTTTTGTGCCTTTCTATGCCATTAATTGACTTGATCTGATCGGATAAATTTCTTCATGTAAAATGGTAATACAAGAAAATAAGAACTTGTTCGTAAGTTAATTTATAAAAAAAATAAAATTATATTAACTTCTCTAAAAGCTGATTTTTAACTTTTGCACAGACTAATTTTAGTTGATGAAACATGTTTTTCCATTCTTTTCCTTTGTTTATAAGTACTTTTGGAAAAGTTGATCTGATATGATCCTCAATTCTCTTTTTGGTGGAGAGGCATATAGGATGAGATTTTGGGACTTGCTTTTGGATTTTTAAGTTTTAGGCTTATGTTTTCCTTTTAATCTTTCTCTAGGTATAGGTTTCTGTCAACGGCTACGTACCTCAAAACAATTGAGCTTTAGAGTGAGACACCCTAGTGTCGTGTATCTTCCTTTATCTTGCTTCTTATAAGAGAGATATTTTCGGACCTTAATTCTTGAGTAGTATCTAGTATATGTCAATAGGTGAGGCTAAGAAGATGCCTGAAACAATAAACAATGACTAAGAAGGCTTCAATATCATATCAAATTTCAACTTAGAATCAATTAGCGATAAGTGAAGTTGTCTAAGAGAATTGAGTTTAAATTCGAAATGTAAAATATGAACCTATGTCTGTATCGCCTACCAAGTGAGTATGGAAAGTAAGAAGAGTTAATCTTGGCCACAAACATACATAAATGGTTCAGATTTGTTTTACTTGAAAATAATCTTGATCATCCACGGTTAATATTGGCTTTTCCCTCGCATTAATACCCAACAGTGAATTCAAAGTTTAATCATCCTCTAATTGCAGGAAGAGCGTTGGAAGATGTGAGAGCTTCTCTCTTTAATCAATTCCGTTCCTCTGAAGGTGCAAAGCGTCAACAGCAGCGCATATGTGGTCCAGCTGTTGCACTTTCCTTCAATTTTCTGGTTGCAGTTGGTATTATTTTCATGAACAAAATGGTTTGTTTACTCTCATTCCCCCTATATCTGGTTAAGCTGTGTTCTGTTTTGAAATTGAATGTATCATGGTTTTTATTTGCTGACTTTCGTCAGTTTTTCCTGTTTTGTTTTAGGTGCTTCAAACTGTTAAATTCAAATTCCCCATACTTCTTACACTAATTCACTATGTAGTGAGCTGGTTCTTCATGGCATTACTAAAAGCATTTTCTCTCCTTCCGGCTTCTCCTTCCTCAAAATCAACCCCGTTGTCTACTTTATTTACTCTTGGCTTTGTTATGTCTCTATCCACGGGCTTTGCTAATGTCAGCTTGAAGTATAATAGGTAACCCAACTATTCATATTTTTATTTAAAGTATTTTTTTATACTGTTAATTTAATTTCTATATCTTCAGCATTGGTTTCTATCAGATGGCAAAGATTGCAGTGACACCATCAATAGTTTTTGCAGAATTTGTATTGTATAGGAAGAAAGTTTCTTTCCCGAAGGTATATGCACTCACTTTGGTTTTGCATGTATTTCTTATAAGATAAAATAAGTAGGAGTATATGGGTTTAGCAGAAAATAAAAACACATGAAAGATGGACAGATTTTGTACCAAGAACCTTTTTAATTAAAGCAACATGAATCTAATTCCTGATGCGATCATATGATATGAGGCAAATGTTAGGTATTTCTGAGGGGGCTAACAATAAGGAGATTCTCACAAATGGGTCATGAGCCAACAATATAATAGAATATGACACTACTCTCAACCCAAAACCTTAAGACAATAGGTTATGGGTCTTTCTCACTTATAAGTTACTCAACTTTCCCATTTCTACCAAATGTGGGACTTCAAACTCACACTTGAATTCTCAACATCTCCCCCTCAAGTGTGATTCTCTTTCACATTGGTATACCTTCCTTTCGAGCGGAAACATTTTTTTAGCCATGAGTATCTAGTGATGACTTCACTTATATTGTCGTTCAACTTAACGGGACTCGCATGCTTGAAACCCTTATCAGGAAGACTTTCGACATAAGAACCTTTCACCATCTATAATCATACTCAATTGAGCCGGTGACCAGATAAAGCATTGACTCTGATACACCCTAGTGCCCCCTCGGTAATACTTAACAACAAAGTGTGAGACCTATTTATAAAGCAAGTTTGTCTAGCAAGCACCCTCCTTCATCCTAGCACCTATATTGCACCTGCATATTTGTGGAAGATAACTATATCGCTGAGTACATTTAATGTGATTTCACATATGTGTGTCTGAGGTCCTATGTATGCAGTTCAGAATTTTGGTTGCTAAAGGGTTCTAGCCACTGGAACCAAATTATAATGCTTTTAATTTATTAGATTGTGTTATACTTTCTCTGGTCCTTTATATAAAATATAAATAGCTAATTCATCAACCAATAAAAGTAGTTAAAATTTGTTATTTTAGTTAATATCAGAAGTTTAACAAAAAATACCCATAGAAGGTGGCTACTTAGTGACGCTACAAAGGGATAATTTCTTTCTACCAATTAATGTGACTTATATCATTAATAAGTCAATAAATGGATCCACTTTCCTGGAGATGTGTCAGCATCTCATCAATAGATTTCACAATAAATTAAGAATATGTTAAACTGGATCAACGTTTCTTATTACCAGGACAATGCTCATTTGTTTCTTATATGAAGGGCTGAAGGGAACATTGTTTTAGGAATACTTACCATCATCCTATCTAATAGCTCTGCTTGATTTAGTTGGCCTATATTCTGGAGCAAAGTTGACCTTGTTTTCATCTGGGGACTTTTGTGATATTTTGTTTATATGGGGGGGGGGGGGTGTCCAATTGTTGTGGTTTTAATTATGGGACTGGGGGGTGTCCAATTGTTGTGGTTTTAATTATGGGACTATCTCATTTTCGTTTTAAATGCTTACCAGAAAATTTGAACCTTTACAGGCATTAGCATTAACAGTGGTATCTATTGGTGTTGCTGTGGCAACCGTGACAGATCTGCAGTTCCATGTATTTGGTGCTTGTGTAGCATTGGCATGGATTGTTCCCAGTGCTGTAAACAAAATCTTGTGGTCTAGACTGCAGCAGCAGGAGAACTGGACTGCTTTGTCGTGAGTAATTACATCTTTTATAATTTTCGCCCTCATCTCCCTTCCCAATTCTTAGTCCTGATTTGCGTAAGAGAATTTCATTCTATCTTGTCTAATTTGTGGATTGATCAACAGGCTAATGTGGAAAACCACACCCATTACTTTAATTTGCCTGGCTGCTATGTTACCCTGCTTAGACCCGCCAGGCGTTCTCTCCTTTGATTGGAACTTCAACAATACTTTGGTGATTTTTGCATCAGCTATCCTTGGATTCTTGCTTCAGTGGTCTGGTGCTTTGGCGCTTGGGTAAGTCAGATTATTTCAATTTCTTTTAGAGTACATAGAATATTCTATTGAATTTTATAGGGGTCCCACTTAATTATTTTACTGGCTGTGTAGAATGTGAGACTGTATAACATTGATGAAGTTAGTGTGAAGAAATAACTGTCGTCCAATTTGCCAGGCATGAAGTGGCACTCTTGTTCTATCTCACTTGTGCTTTTCTCTTCCTTTTTTTCTTTGGAGGGGGTTTACAATTAATTAGCTTTATTAGTGGAGTGGAAAGAGTTGGACCCAGAAACCCTGATATGAGTTTGATACATTCTTTGTTTTCTTCTCGGTTCTTTGTCACTTCTTGAGGCCTTGTGGAACTGTTAGCTTTTCACCTTCAATTGAAGTTTAAGAGTCTAAATCACTTTTATAGTGGGGATCCCATTGAGCTAAAGTATTATTGGAATCTGTATATTTTAGTAGTACTACAGACTTCTAATCCATTTTCAATGTCTGAAGTACTCTTGCAACCTGAAAAATACTGGTGATGGTCGATTTACTTTTGACTAAAGTTTGTACTAGATGACATTGCATGTGCTAAAATTAAATGACTAACATTGAACTTTATGGTCAGGTTCACAATACAAGAATCAAATGTCAGAACTTGTATATAATTTTTTTTTAAATTGTGACAGTATTAGGATGGATTGTTACTATGAATTTTGGTATAGCAAATTTAATCTATTCATTCATCATTTACGTTTGAGTTCTATGTTTTGGATGATATTTATTTGTAACATTCAGAACATTATTGCATCTTGCTTTCGTTTGACTGAATGCACTGAGGTCTACTAATCTTATTAAGGGTTGGCTTTTTCATACATTTTCTCTTTTACCCTGCAATTTACAGGGCTACATCTGCCATCTCCCACGTTGTCCTTGGACAGTTCAAGACCTGTGTCCTCCTTCTAGGAAACTATTATCTCTTTGGATCCAATCCTGGCAAAACCAGTATCTGTGGCGCATTCACAGCTATTGCTGGTATGTCTATTTACACTTACCTTAATCTAAGGCAACAATCAAACAAGCCATCACCTCGACAGGCTTCCAATTTACCAAAATCTAAACTGAGCAAAGAAAATGGCAGCACCCATGATGGACATTATGGAGCAGAATCTGTCTAACTAAATGCCTATCTCTGCATTACATGCAGTTGTATGGCACATCAAGCAAACATTTTTCGTTCTTTTTCTTGTTTCTTGATTCTGATCTAACCATCTTGGATGCTCGTAGTGATGTGTCAGCTACAATACACGATCAAGAGATGTACTGGGGTATATGGGTCTCCCTTCCACTTGGCAGCTATTGCTCTTAGAAACTTGGAACACCAACTGTATATAAATGATTTGGTGGATTCCTTGCTAGAACTACTTTTTCCTTTGTTTTTTATTGGAGCTAAAGATGTATTCTGTTGTAACCAAGGACAAACATTGCTTTAGGCCTTTTATGGCATTCTCGATTTGCTGGAATTCGTCTTTGTACGATAAAGTGAGCATGAATCAACTTAACTGTTACACTTCAAGTATTTGAAGGCAAGACTCAAATTTTTATATAAAATAATTTTGTATGCATTATTGTGTTGCACATACAAAAGCTGATTTCACAAATTATTACAGTCCAAGAGTGTGAAGTATATTATTATCATTATGGGAAACACAACCACCAATCCAAGTATATTATTAAGTTATATTGTTTTTAATTACATCATACTAACTCTTGTTTGTAAATTATTACAATGTGTACTCCTACAAGAAATATTATTTGTAAGTGTTAAGAAGAAGTTAAATGTTTAGACTTTGAATTAGGAAATCTTAATAATAATAATCACACTTTATCTCTTGGATTTCAGGACTATTACTATTAAATAAACTACAATTATCCTTTAACAAATCCCACAATTAAATAAGTAACCTAAAGTGGTTTGACCATTAAGACTCGCACCAACACTTGCTCATTGATATCTCATAGAAAAAGTATATTCACTTCTCGAAAAGCATCCATTTGCATTTCAATTTGCAATTTTGGTTATTTAGTTAAAATTTGAAAAATTCATTTTTTTATGAGATGATTGAATAATTTGATATAAATCCACCTAGATCAAAACTAAATATGAATTAACTATTTGTTTTATATTTAACTATTTTCTACAAGCACCATTATTGAGATTATAGTTATAATATATTGGTTTTGAAACGTGCATCCTTCTAATATGTGCTAAATTTGCTTAACTAATAATTTAATATGCAAATGGTTGTAACCTGGTTTGATATGTTCCAAAGTGGCTAATTAATTAAAGCATTTACCTAAGCATGATTCTAAGTTGCAGCTAATCTAATCAAGATCTACCTAATTGATATGTTCATGCCTCTAAGCTTCACCTAATTTGATTTAAGCATGTACCTAAATATCTACTTAATTTCATGTCAATCTAATCTATTCATATATATGACCATGGTTATCAAATGTAATAATACAAAGCATGTGCCAAAAGTTAGAGTATCTGATCCCAAACATGGCTATATACATATATAAGCATGTATTGATAAGTTACTACAAATTTGTCTAATTTGTATGTTTTGATTCAATATGCTTGGTTATGAAATGTACTAGCATGTCCCAAAGTTTGATTATCCAAATATGCCTAATATATAAATATATATCCAATATATTTTTAAATTATACAAATTACGTGAGAATGTTTAACTGATAACCACTTTTAAAATGAAAAATGAGAACAAATAATTATAACAGTGAGATTAAAATTAAAATTTTTCTATAAAGAATGAAGATCAAAATTTAATTAAAATTAAATTACGTATCTGCTTTACACTTTCTCTCCTGTACCATACGTACTCTCATGTTGGTTCTTAGAAGTGACTACAATAAAATAAAATCAACGATATAATTACAAAGGTTTTCATTTCCTATCAAACGTTACTTTGCCTTCTCTTTTCTAATCCTAAAAACGAGGCTTAATTAGGATCAAGCCACAAGTCCTTTATTTAACTCTCTTCTGTTATATATTTTTCTTAAAGAAACAGCTTTAAATGAGACTCCCTTTTCTTATGTTCATTTCTGCTTTAAGACGACATGTAAACAAGGAGAAGACCAGCATTGAATATATTTCAATATTTTCAACCTTTTTAGCACAATTATCGCGAGTGTTCCTTCTTATTCGTGTTATTTTATGTATAAATATACACTTTCCTTGTCAGATTAAACACTCACCAAATATTCACAAACTCTGTTGTTTACCCTTATTTTGTTTCAACCATGATCAATGGTCAAGAGTTGTATGATGTATTGGCAGCGATTGTGCCCCTCTATGTGCCTTTGATCTTAGGCTATTGCTCAGTGCGTTGGCGGAAGATGTTCACCCCTGAACAGTGCTCTGGCATAAACCGTTTTGTGGCAGAGTTTGCATTGCCATTCTTCACTTTCCGTATCATATCGGGCAACAACCCTTACACTATGAACTTCAAGTTTTTAGCGGCGGACTCTCTTCAAAAGGTTGTGGTTTTGGTTGCACTTGCTCTGTGGAACACTTTCACAAAGAGGGCTAGCATTGACTGGACCATCACGCTGTTCTCACTCTCCACTCTCCCCAACACACTCATCATGGGAATCCCTCTTTTGTCAGCCATATATGGACACTTCACAGCCTCCCTCATGATCCAAATTGTGGTCTTCCAAAGTGTCATTTGGTACACTCTTTTGCTGTTCATGTTTGAATATAGAGGAGCTAAGCTACTCATTTCAGAACAATTCCCTGATACAGCAGGTGCAATATCCTCCGTTAGGGTTGATTCAAATGTTGGTTCTCTCAGTGGTAGACAGATACTACAAACCAATGCAGAAATCGGAGAAGATGGGAATCTTCATGTGGTGGTGAGGAGCATGTCACGTTCTGTGTCCGTTGCATCAAACCTCACCGGGATTCAGATCTATTCGGTGGAGTCATCTATAGAACCAAGGCTGAGAAATTCAAATTTTAGTGCCACAGATTTGCACCCTCATGGCCTCAAAAGAGAGGGGATGTTGAAGATGCATGAGAAAAGTTTTTCGAGGAGCAAGAGTGTTGGTCATGATTTGGCTTCCCAATATCCGTCTCTAAAACCAACAGGGTCTAACCATGGTGGCCAAAGAAACAAGGGGTTGCACATGTTTGTTTGGAGTTCAAGAGCATCATCGCCAACTTCTGATGTTAATGTGAGACATGCAGCGAATAATAGAGTTGACTCTTCTGACTTTGGGACCATGGGATCTTTGAAGGGTGCTGATTTTGCAAATGAAACCGCTGCATCAAAAGGTAAATTCATCTCACAATAATCACATTTACGCATGATGCACACACTCAGACTCTAAAGACTCTGTATTTTGTCTTATGTCCGCGAATCCTGGTTCATCAGATAGATAAGCTTGCCTTTTGAAGAGTAATTCACGATATATATTACCAATATTTTAAAAACCCTCCAACACTTGGTGAATACTATCACTATTTAATGTTTTATTTTATAAACTATATATGCATGTGTTAGTGGCAAATCGAGAAAAACGATCGAAATTGAAGGAAAGGAATGTGACTCGATAAGATAAACAAAAATTCATTCGATGTCTAATTAGAAATACGTAACATATAGCATCGAGAAGCACAAACGAGAATCAAATGAATAATAATCAAATGACTGTTGTCGAATAAAAACTAAGTCATATAAGACCAGGGTTAAAAAGGAATTGTAAGCAATTCGAAGTTCTCGAAAAATACAGAATCGAGAGTAAAGAAAGCCAAGGCAGACATCGAGACTTTGGCCAAATCATGAAAGGAAGTAAAGAGCAGTTTTTGAAATCATGGGAAAAAGTCGGAGATCGTGAGAACGTGGGAAACTAGAAGATAAACTGCCATACGCACGTAGAACGTGGTAGCAGTCGTGTTAACTGCTCTTAGAAGGCTTGAAGGATGCCCTATAAATAGAGCAAAGAAGGAAGGAACAGGGGAGCAAAAATTGGCGAGAAACGAGAATCGGTAGTGAAAAGTCTACGGAGAAACGACGAACACCATGAAGCTTACGACAATCTGGATTTCCTTGCTCATCGAGTACATTTACCGCTTTCGTATTTTCCTTGGTAATTTACTTTGATGCAACTTAAATTCAGCGAGTCTCATGTTTACGTATTTTCGATTCCTTGTCCATTTCAATTCAATGCAAATTTAAGTTTATGCATTTAGGTTTCCACGATTTAACATTCTTGCAATCTCGATTTCCTGTCATTTACTTTTCTTGCAATTTCGATTTCTTGTCATTTATATTTACGTTGTTTTCGATTCCTTGCTATTTACAATTCATGCAAATTTGGGGTTTTCGCACTTTACATTTCCTCGCAATTTAACATTACGTTTTTCGATTCGATAGTCTTAATCCTTTCGATACTTTAAATACAAAACACCAAAAACAGCATTTTCGATATCCTGTAGTTTTCGATTCTCACACACGTTTTCGATTGAAAATCAAATTGCTAGCCTAAATAAAAAGAACTTACATGGTAGAATTTTGATTAGGACCAAAACACCCTTAGAATCGAGATCGATCGAAATTCCACCAGAAACAAATTGGCGCGCCAGGTAGGGGGGTCTTGTGTTGAGAAATACAAAATTGGTTAGTTCGAGAGTGTATGAGATTAAGGAGTGGGAGAATCATGAGTCGAGTTCATCAAATAACCAAGGTAACGGTGAGGGATTAAATGGATCACACCCACCAAATGCGGGGGCAAAGTCATAATGGGAACATACATGTAGTATCGACAAGCTGTGAGCATGTCGATACACGTGAGTAGTGAACAAAATTCGGGTACATTAGCAAACACCCAAGCGGGATCTAGTACGGTGATACCAAATAATATGCAAACTATGGGAAATCCCATGACCACATATGTAGGGCCACGTATGAGCGTAAGACCGCTCGGGTTTCCACTTAATAATGTGAGTGGGGTTGGAACCTCTTCAACGCATAGGAATTCGAGATATAACGTAGGAATGTCCCAAACACTAGGTATGCCACAAAATTTTGGAATCCCTCAGAATTTAGGGACGTCTCAAAACTTAGTAATTCCACGAGGATCCGGGGAATGGACAGAATGTAGGCACACTGACAAATACCTCCAAATCTAGATCGGAGGGATACTTAGATCATGGGAGATATGTATTCGATAGAGACTATCATCGATCTAATTTTGATTCTATCGAAAACATAGATGCCGGAATATCTAGTAATTCATTAGGGGTACTCAGACAACAAATGGATGAGAGTAATTTTGAAATGGTGAATATGTTATCACAACAATTGACTACGGTCTTAAATCCATTAGTGCAAAACACTACTTGCTAGCTTTGAGATATTAGCGAGACCAAATGTCACGAATCGGGGATGCATTGGCTGTGCCTCGACAAACGAGGATAGAAAATCAGGCTAATCGGAATACTAATATTAATCCCCCATATCTATTGAGAAGAAATAGAAATAATGATCAACGACGGTGTATGGGAAATGAGTATCAACATATGAGGAATGATATTTATGGGAATTTGAGCGAAGGATTTCAAAATATACACAATCGAAATAATATGTTGGGACAAAGGATGAATTTACAAGGGATGGAATTTAGACCACCCAATCGGACATATTTTGTGTCTCCCTTTCCGAATGCAATTCTCGAGACAGAATTGCCTCGAGGATATAAAGTACCCAAATTCACTAAGTTTCTTTGGAGAAGTTGGTGAATCGACTATCGAGCATGTGGCTCGATATCGGATCGAATGCGGGGATTTAGCGATGAGTGAAGAATTAAAAATGAAATATTTTCCTAGTTCTTTGACTAAGAGTGCTTTTACTTGGTTCACGTCATTGCCACCTAATTCGATATATAATTGGTTACAATTGGAAAGAAATTTTCATGAGCAATTCTTTAGAGGAGAAACTCAAGTGAGTCTCATCGACTTGATGAATATAAAAAGATACAATCATGAAAGCATAGATGATTATTTGAATCGATTTAGACAAATGAAATCGAGATGTTTCACTCAAATTCCTGAATATGAATTAGTCAGAATGGCCTCTGCGGGTTTAGAATTCTCGATTAGGAAAAAACTAGTCAATTTACCATTGAATGACATGGCTCGATTAGGCGATAAAGTGAGAAGAGTGGAACAAATAGAGTATGAGAAACAAAGGTATAAGAAATATGAGAAACCTTTGAAAAAGGAAAGAATAGCATACATAAATGATGTATACGAGACGAGATAATATGACGAGAAAATGATATTGAAGAAAGCGTCGATGAGAAAGTAAACTTAGCGAGAACTCAAAGTAGGGGCTCCATATACACTGTAAATTGCTACAAAAGAATGAAATAAAAGATAAAATGGCAAATCGAACATATACTTTTGATGTAACAAAAGCGGACAAAATCTTTGATATTTTATTGAAAGACAAACAGATTAAGTTGAGTGATGATCATAAACTGCCGTCTGCAGAACAGAGGAATGGTCGAAAATATTGCAAATTTCATAATGTTTATGGACATTGGACTAACAATTGTATACATTTCAGGAACACCATCCAAGATGCGATTGACCAAGGAAGGTTGAAGTTTGGAGAAATGACAATGAAAGTGGACACGAGTCCTTTCGAAGTCCAAGTGGGATATATTGAATCCCAAACTGAGATGAATGATGATGTTCGACTGACGAATGCCACCTTCATAGGCGTGGTCGATGTTACTGAAGACATTGACCCCAAGCATGTCAGGATGGACGTATCAGAGGAAGATATGGAGTTTGACCTGAGTGAGTTCGAGAAGGAGTTCGAAAAAGAAATATACCCTCGGACAGGAGACTCCCTCGTTGAATTTCTGAATAGGAAGAAAGAAAAAGACGAAGATGTGTCGCTATGTCCACGGTGCAGTGCGGTGTTCGATAAATCGGCTGCCAAAGCTTTCAGAATAGAACAGACAAAAAAGATCGAGGATCAAAGCAAAAGGAAAAATGACAAAATAGATCAAACAGTCCGACCAACCATCGAAGAAAGTCAACAGAAATCTGTTGGTTCTGGCGTTAGCGAAAATCAGAGGCAATGGGTCAGAAGAGAGATGTATCCTTCTCGAGGAGGAAGAGGCGAGAATCCAGAGCAATGATGTCTTCGAGAGATTGTCATACGACGAAGGATCGAACATCGGATTCCCAACATTCCAGAGGAGATTCCGAGGAAGGCCTTGGAGGAGAGGAGGAAGAATCCCTTATTGGAACAATTATAGAAACTTTGAAGGAAATACTGTACCGATGGAGGGCCATTTTACAAGAGAATTTTTCGATGAAAAGAACGAGGGCAACTGGGATGAGCATCAAATCGGAGTAATATCAATATTACCCGCAGAATACGATAATGAATACAAAGAATATCAAGAACAAAGCGATGCTGATCGAGAAGATGACTTCTATTCAGAAAACATAAGGCCAAAGGTGACGTGGGTAACTCAAGCATCTTGCGAAATACCGCACAGAGATGCTGCCTTCATCGATCCTCCATCCGAAGAAATGAGGTTCCACCTGAAACCTTTACTATTAAATATCGAGATCCAAGGACAGATGGTGAACAGAGTCCTTGTTGATGGTGGCGCAGCAGTGAACATATTGCCAATCTCCATGCTGAAGAGGTTTGGCGTCGAACTGAAAGATTTAGTTAAACACAACATCATGATTTCCGATTTCAGCGGAAAAACATCAGGATCAGAGGGCATGATCGCTTTAGACGTGAAGGTAGGTACTTACTCAAGGCCTACTGTGTTTGTTGTGGTCCAATCACATGCCAACTTTAACGCACTACTTGGTAGAGAATGGATTCATGGTGTAGGAGCTGTACCTTCGACAGCTCATCAAAAATTATTTATGTGGAATCGAGACGGACATCTCAAAATAATCCCAGGAGATCAACACGAATTTGTAACATTCGTATCTCAGGCTGGTCGAGCACTGCAGAATCTGGCGCTTGCTCAACCATTCACCTTCGAAACGATCGAAGATTTTAATTCAAAGCTGCATGAGGAGCGTTTCTTAGAGATGAATGAGAAGAAAGGATTCATCATGATCAAAGAGGGGCCAACCTCGAAGTGGCAGGTGAAGATGAATAGAGAATACGAAGAGTTCTTGGCTCGATTGGGAAAATATGAAGATGGGAAGAAGAGCCAAGAAAGTAGTAGTAGTAGTAGTAAAATAGGGATAAATAAGTCGATTCACTCGGCCAGTAGTTGCAAATAATAGCGATCAAGTTATACTTGAT